GCTACACAAGCACCGACAAGGTCCTGCTGGGGGTCGGACGTGTTATTTCCCAAGGACCAGCACCGACCCCTTGGTGTAGCTGCAGCAGGGTTCTCGCCAACTCCAAAACCAGGATGTGTGTGTGACTGCGGTCTGCAGACTCCTGATTAACCTCGCTGCGTCAGTGACAGGCAGTGACAGGGTTGTCAGGGGAACCTCCACTTGCGCATCCGACCTCAAGCGCAGTGAGAACCTCTGCTCTTTTGGGAGAGACCAACGACCGACCAGCAGCCCTTAGGTGGCCAGGCCGCCTCCTCAGAACGTGGAGCCGGGGGAGCCCACGGATCTGCTCAGGACCTGGCCTCGTCTCTGGCTTCAGCCTCGCAGGCAGCCTGACTTAGCGCCGAGTCCGCGGCAGCCTGGGATTTGTCTGGCGCGGCTTCCAGGCACGTGCCAGGTGATATGCGTCATGGGACTTTGTGGACTAGCTTATTTTCTAAGTTAATGATCAGCAGGGCAGTTGCCAATTAAGAGGGTTCCTCTTCCTCTTAAAGTCATCCCCTCAAAACACTGTCTTAGAGTTTAAGCCTCAAAACAGATGCCATTCCCCTGCGCCCCCACCCCAATCCACAGTGACATAAAAAAAGAGCGGAAGAAAAATATCGCTTTTCCAAATTTGTGTTGAGCATGGGATTATTAAAAAGTTGTAATTAGAAACAGAGTTTTAACCATCCACCGTGGCTCTGTCCACGGGTGGCAGGTGAACACACATTCGGGGTCCAAGGCCCATGCCAGCAACAGCTGGCTTCCCCAGGTGTTGCTGTTTGTGGGTGCAGTCAGTCCTCTGGGACCTCAGAGACGTCAGGGGCGACACAGGCACCCCAGTTGCTGCTGCTTCCCCCAAGGGGAGGAGTGCACCTAATGGAGCCTCGCATTCAGTAAATGACAAGAAGGGACACACTGGGACACTCAATCTAAGCTTGTCTTTCCCGAGCTGCATTCTGCGTAACACTGACACCCCACAATTCTCAACCGATGCTTTAAAAATGCAACAGCGGTGACTGGGTCCTGAGCAGGGACACAAGGGACCAGAACACGAGGACAACTGAGGAAAGCTGCGCGTGTGCTGCGGGCAGCTGTGTCCCCACGGCCGTGAAGGGGCCACAGAGGACGGACACTGTCCGTTGGAGGGCAGTCCTGCCAAAGTCCACGGGTGCCTGCGCCTTTCCAATGCTCAGAAAAGACGGACACTAGCGTATTTTCACCGGGCAGAGGGAGCAAGGGAAAAGCAAACAGGAGGCGCATGCCGACCCGGCTCAGGTGGCGGTGCACTGCTGCCGCAGGACCCTCCCAACTCTGTGAGCAGGCGGCTGCCGGACACCGCCCCCAGCTGGTTCATCCCTGCTGGGCTAAGGACCTGCCATCAGACGCTGGGTCCTGCCTCCGTGACCCTCTTAAGCAACTGTTTTAACAGTTGGGTGCACGGTCCGCCCACGTAAACACAAATGATGGCTGAGGACAGGAAGCTCTGGGGACCAGATCTGTACCCTGCCTGTGGGACTCCCTCCTCAGCCAAAGCGCAGCCCCCCTCGCGAGCGCCACCTTGGAAAGGTCACTGCGAAAACGCGGCTGCGCTCTCCTCCCCCTCCCGGAGCAGCGGAGCAGCGTCAGGACCGGCACCGCACAGCAGGGCCCTCTGCTGCAGTCCACTCCTCGGCTCCGGTGCGCGTTTTCCAGCAGGAGCAGGGTCCTCCGCCGCGTGCTCCTCCCCCACCGCTTGCTCCTCCCCCGGCACTTGCTCCTCCCCCGCTGCGGCCACGCAGGCGCCCAGGCTGCGCGCTGATGTGCACGTGAGGGCTGAGGCTCAGACGACACCGTGTGTCCTCGGTGCCCTGCCCGCCACAGGTCCCAGGAGGCAGCCGGCTTCTCCCTGAGGCCGCTGTGCGAGCAGAGCCACCCAGGGTGGGGGCCCCGCACCTGCGCTCTGCAGCGAGGACGCTAAGAACCTGGTGTCTTCACTGTGAGGAAGTCGCGAGAACAACGTGCGCACGTAGCTTTTCAAGGTCCATGCAACACTGACACGAAACATGGAAAGAGGAGAAACAAGAGCCACTCCTTCAGGTGTGAGCTTTATTGTGCCGCCGTATCACACGCACACACACCGGGAAGCGCATCAACAGTGAGTCCTACTGGGAGCTGGTCCACAGCACGAGTGACGGGGCAACGGAGGGGACAGGCGTCTCCGCAGAAACCAAGCGCAGCACGCGCTCGGGGCTCCTTAGGTGCTCGGGAAAGTGCAAAGAAAAGGCTCGCTGCTACTCAGCAAGAAAAAACACGTTGAAGACCTGACTAGAAATCAGACTTAGGGCTTCGAGGAAACACCTTGGCAGGGGCACATGACAGCTCCGCTGTGCTGTGAAACAGTCCACGCCCGGACCAGGAAGGCGAGCGCAGCCACAGACAGCGCCACCGCCGTGTGCTGTGCGAGCAGTTCTGGGCACTGGTGGAAGGGGCCATCCAGGGAGGGGCTCCCTTAGGGCAGGGGGTCAACCCAGGAGGGGACACAGTTGCAGTGGCTGAGCCTTCCCTGGCCCCCTCTGCCCACGGAGCACGCAGCCGGGTCTGGAGCAACCAGGAGTACTGGACAGGCTCCAGGAAAACCTGCCCCCAGGCCGGTGCAGCTGGGAGCACCGGTGGGAATGCGAGATTCCTTAACCTCTCTCAGAGGAACAGAGGAGAACGGAGAGGCCCTGCTGGAGAAGCCCCGCCCGCTGCAAGACCTGGCGGCACCGTCTAGGCGTCACCAGTGCCCAGAAGTGACCCTCCACCCCCACCCGGGGCTCTGCTGGGCCCAGAGTTTTCAGCAACGAATGGCTCTGAGGAAGGCGCAGGCTTCCCAGAAAGAGGCAGCAGAATGAACAGTTCCAGTCTTGGTTTTTCCTTTTACCCAAAACATAGCTTCTTTTTACCACACAACATTAAGCTCTCATCTGCAAAAAGATGAAAGGTCTTTAAGGCAAGTACGTCCGCTGCCTCCCGTTGCCTTCACGTGCAGACACTACACCTGGTCAGGACGCGCGGGGCTGGGGAACGGCCGCGGTTTCCTCAGAGCCCGGGCAGCGGCTCTGCGCCGTGGGACGCGCCACGCAGGCAGTCACTTGGTAAGCTTCCCACGAATCCCAGCATTTACGGGGCCGCAGACACAGTTCGGAAAAGCACGCGTAGGGCGAACGTAAAGCATGAATCCTCCTGATAGCAGGATAAGCACCAGCGCAGTACCACGCTGCAGGGAAAGGAGTGGACACTTCTCATCAGGAGAACAAAGGTCAGGTGAACTGCTCCCCTCACTTCACGGCCACCTCCCCCCGATGACCACCTACCAAATAAAGTTCCCTGAACATTTCCTAACAGCAGAAACAGGTAAAACTGTTTTGCCTTCTTTGTAAATATCCCTAGCGATGGTCAACTGCCCACCACTGTGTGAATCCCTGGTCCTTGTGCAACTCGAACCACCACACAGACAAACTGCAGGGGACAGACACAACGCACCCCAGCTTCAGGCAGAGAGGAGCCGACCCTAATCGAAACCAGGCCAAATCTGTCACCTCCCAGGGCCCTCAGGAACTGGACACCCCATGTTCCCCTGTGACTGACAGGAGGCAGCCCAGCCCCCCGGCCCCCCCGGGCTGCTGTGTGTGCAGCCAGGTTTCCCAGGAAACACACAGGTCACAGCGGAGAGCAAGCCACGGGACCAGAAGAAGCCTAATGCTGGAAAGGGGGCAAGATCCAGGAGCGTCGGACGGCCAGGGCGCTGGCTCTCCACCCGGTGTGGTGTCGGGGAAGCTGAAGTGAGCCCTGCACACAGACCAAGCAGGGCCACTCTGGACACTTCGCTCCGTGACTCCAGCCAAAGGTCACCCAAGAACAAACAGGTGCAGTGAACTGTCGCTGCCTGGGAAGGGCTCACCCGAAGGGACGTCCCTATTTTCCCAGAGTCACAGGTACTTGCTGGAGTCTGACCTCTGCTGCCCGCAGACTAGGCCGCGACGTGACACGCTGCCCCCCCCCCCGGAACACAGCCCCCCAGCATGCCAAGACGGCCCCCCTCCCCCCAGAAACAAACTGCTCTAACTGCTGTCGGTCGCTGTGGTGCTGAATTTCATTAAACGCCGCCCAGCAAGATGGAAGAGGTTGTGGGAGCCGGGCCTCACGTCACACAGTCAAACGTGAGACCCGAGGAGAAGACGACCCCTAGTGCCAGCCGCCTGCGTCTGCTCGGAGGCTGCGGCACGCCCCGAGCCCGGTGGCGGGAAGTGGGGGCCGCCCCAGGAAGGCTCCGGCGGCCAGGCGGCGGGTTCCCGCGGCATCCCTCGTGGCAGCCCTGCTCAGAGGAGGCAGGGAGACACAGCAACGGGCCTTTAAAGCCGCCTCTGAACCCGGCGGGGACCGTCGCACCCCAGCAGCCGGGCGCCAGAGAGGCCACACGAGGCTCGCAGACTGCCAGGCTCGGGTTTGTTCTCAAGCCGCCACAGCCCGCGGTCACCCAGGAGGACACCAGACCTGACACGCAGTCTGCACTGTGGGGAGACCCAGGTTCTTCTCCCGCCTCCAGGCTGGGTGCCCCTCTCCACCGTCTTCCCACAGCATCGCAGCAGGGAAGGCGCCACCTGCGCCCCCCTCAAAGGTCTCCAAACCACCAGAATGTCCCGCAGGAGAGCCCACTGACAGGCCTTTTCCTGGCAAAAAATGCACCTGAACACCATGAACAGAGAAACTGGGGCGGGCGGGGGGACAGACACTGACTTGGGAAGAGAAACACTACCTGAGATCACACCTTCCAAAGGGTCGGGGCTGAGACACGGCCTGGCCCCCTTGCCCGACTCTCAGAAATTTCCGGGTTTAGCAGCTTCAAAGGACCGAAATCTCTGTTTCATCCCAGAAGAACCATGAAAGCGGCATCTTCAACAACATTTGGCTGAGGTTTAAGAAAGATACTCGGATTAAAAACACATGATGAGAGAAAGAGGAAATCGACAAGTATTGTCTTTGGTGGTACCAGGCTAGGAGTTAGGAATAAGATAATTTAAATCACAGGAGGCATCTTTTTTCAACTCTGTGGCTTTAATATAAGACATTTAACTCGGTAAATGGTTACTTAGGTTCATCAAGTGCTCCCTCGGCTCCCTTAAAGTCTGGTTGGCATCTTCTGCCATGAAACTCGACAGTGTGAACCACCACACACAGAGCACAGCACAGAGCACAGCACAGAGCAGTGAGGAGACGCAGGACGCTGTCGGCCCCAGCACGGGGCATGCGCGGCCCCGGGCGTCGCTGACCCTGGAAGCCCACCTGCAGCACACTCAGGGCCTGGTTTTTGGAGGCAGCAGCGGCGGGGGAACGAGAGGGCCACGTGCTCACCTACGACACCTGTACTGTGCGTCCATCAGAACCCATGGCAGGACCTGGTGTACAGTCGCCGTGGGAGCCCCTCACACCCACACACCTGTTCCAGGAACGCACAGGTCTCAGCCACACTGGTCACACCCTCCCAAACCAGCACCTGCAAACAAGTCCGCTCATCAGCCCCTGAAAGGGTCCCAGGAAAAGCCCGGCTGTCCTCGATGAGCACACACTGGGAGCTCGCCCCAGAATGGAATGTGCCCCAGGGCCCAGGCCTGTGGCAACTCACACGCCAGACCCCCACACCAAACCTACCCTCACGATGAACCGTGAGGAGGGGCCCCAGCCACGTGGCAGCTGGCGGGCCCCACAACGTTGAGTGGTCCCCGTGGGACCCGCGGGGCAGGGAGGCCCTCCTCTCTTGTGGGGGCTCTCGGGGACCGTACAGCCCACGCAGGAGGCTGCCAGCAGGGGAAAAGATAAAAGTTGGCTTCCTCGGAAAACAGCAAATAAATAGCAATTTCACTTAGATAAGAAAACAAGAAAAAACCCATACTCTGTATCCTATTTTGTGTACATATAATCAGTGCTTTATAAAGACTTCCTGAACTTTAACCCCTTACAAACAACCCCTGCAAGGTGGGATGGAGCCTGTGACCAGCTATGTGCAGGACCTCACGCCCAGAGCCCTCGCTGCGGGGGCTCCTTCCTGTCACCTGTACAGCTGTACCTACCAAAACTGCCCTGCCCTCCAAACCAGGCCACGCGGGATGCTGAGGACACAGCTTCATCCTCAGTGAAGGAAAGACAGGGCAGAGGAGGGAGTGGGAGGGACGGGGAGGAGCAGGAGCAGGAGAGCCCTTGGTCACGCTCTTAGTCTCTGGCCGTCCTTCTCCCTCCACTGAACATCCCACCCTTCCTTTTTCGGACCACTTGTTTTCTGTCACAGAAGGCTACACTGCACCGGGAGAAAGCTAACGATGACCACAGCACACTCAGCAGAAAGGGGCTTACACAGGGTCTAGTGCCGGTGCGGGAAGGGGACAAGCCACAGGATCCAACCGCTGGGCCAGGTGAGTTCAAACGGAGCCCAGTATGGACCCGCCGGCTCCTCCCCAGGTTCCATCCCACAGGCAGCCCTCCCTCCCGACAGGTATAACGCCGCAGGGATGAGGGGATGAGGCTGACGGCTCCCAGGACTCACAGTGGAAGGACCCGCTCGGCTTTCCTGACTCACACCTGCACTCACGTGAGCAAACACACCACACAGCAAGCTGTGCCACACCAAGCGCCAGCTTTCTACCTTCAAGCCTTAGTTTACACGCACGCAGACAGGCTCACTGCAGCTTCTTCAAGGGAACACTGTCCCCAGTGCAGCACGGGACAAGGAAGGGGACACCGCGCACCGGCACCTGGGTGGGATGGACGTGGAAACGGGAGCACCGTGCAGGTGCCCCCATCCCCGGGCCGCAGTGGGCAGCCACCCGGCCTCACGAGCACCCAGCACGACGGCAGTCTGACCCGCCCCGTGCACCACCCACGGCGAGGGACCCCTGGGGTGGCGGCCTGTGCTTTCCAGCGCCTGCACCTGCGCAGGTGACACAAATGTACAAAGTCGCACCCCCCCGCCCCCGGCGAGGGGTGCTGCTGCACTGGGGTGAGGATGCGGTAACCAGGGAAATGCGGAGCAGCGCGGGGACGCGTCCCGGGGTCACTGTCAAAGCAGGGTCTGGTAGAGATAGCCCCTCCGGTAGGCACTCAGCGGGTAGAACGTGGCCACCACGAACTTCCCGTCGAACGTCCTCCCCGTCAGTAGCTTCTGAGCTGCTTTGGAGTCACCGGCATTCGCGTACTCGACAAAGACCTAGAAGGGGGGAGAACACCGTGACTTGTCTCCATCCTGCTGCCTGGGGACAGTGCTCCTGCCCACGTCCTCTCACGTCTCGACAGGCTCCCCGCAGCCTCCCCAGGGCTGCCGTCCGTGCACACGCTCGAGGGCGGCACAGTTCAGAGCGTGTCCTTCGAACTCAGCCGGTTCTGGAACCAGCAACCACCGGGTGACCAGGCACCGCCTCTTCCTGCCAGGTCACACAGGACTGCCAGGCGGTGTGGCCGCCAGCTGGAGAGCACACCCCGGCGACAGCTGGCACATCGGGGGAGAAATGGGAAAGACGCAGCAGCCGCGCTGCAGCAGGGGAGGCGGCTTCCTCTTCCAGAGCACGTGACTCCCCACCGCAGAGGCAGGGGGAGGACACAGCATCGGAACCTCCGACTCCTTTTGCTGACTGAAAGCGAAGTGACAGGGAGGAGAAGGGACTGGAAGGGACGTGACCTCTGCGACCTGTCCCCTGTGGACCAGAACAGCCTCTCATCCTGTCGTGTCCCTGGGACCACGCTGCGGGCACACAGGGCCTTCTCTGCGGAGGCGAGAACGGGCAGTTCGAGAAAACCAGTGCCCAGGCTCTCGGCACCCCCTGTGCACCCCACCAACAGAGGCTTGCTGAGGCCCTGAGCGGTGGTCCGTCCAGCAGCCTCCTCCTCCCCGCACAGCCAGCCCACGGGGAGTGTACAGTGCTCAGGGCACCAAGAGCCAGGCAGTTCCAAGCACAGGCCTACTCTGCCTGGCCAGGGACCCAAGGAGTGAGCCGTGAGGGGAAGCTGGGACAGAGGACGGGCCGCCTGGCCCGCAGATCCTGCTTCTTCCCTGCATACCTCACAGGGTCCCGCGCCCCGCCCCCCGCAGGTCTGCCCATTCAGGTCCGACCTCGACCGAAACATCGAGCGCACTGTGCACAGAAGCTCCCTTTGCAGGTGAGCTGAGCGCTGTGCCAGGCCATGCCCTGCCCCCACCTGCCACACAGCTTCTGGGAGGTTGAGGGAGGGCTCCAGGCTCGTGCTGACTTTCTGAATTTGCACATAACACGGAGGGCAGGCTGCTTTTGCCTCGCCCACACCATGGCCACTTTCAGCTCCTGGCAGAGGGTGGCCATCCAGTGCTACAGGGGCCTTCGCGGCTTCTCAGCCACAGGGTCAGAAGCTCAAAACAAAAGCGCTTCCGAAGGGCCCCACTGTGCGCTCCACCAGAGGCATGTGACCAACCCGCAGGCCACACCTCCACAGTCTACCCTGCCACCCCACCCACTCAGGTTGTGCCGACCCGCCCACCAGCCCTGGCACCCCCTTCCTCGGGTGGCTGTCCCCTCCCCCCCACCACGAGGCTCCTCCAGCCCCTCCCCGCTCTCCGCACGGCTTGGTGGGCCCAGTGCCCTTGCCCTTGACCTCCTCCCCTCACTGGGGGCACACAGCAGGGGCGCAGTTGCACGGCTGATGGACACACAGCCCTGAGGGGCTGGGTGCCTTCCTGGCCCTGAAGGGGGAACAGGGTCCGAGCTAGACTGGCAGTCACTGTCACTACAGCCAGAGTGAAACTTCATTCCTTTTCAGTGGCCCCAAACCCCCGTGACGCCACGCCCCGAGACAACACGGTAATCCGTAACCGGAGGGGGTTTCTCCCACAGGGGGCCGGGGGCGGCATCTGGCAGCCTCTGCAGACCCCAGTGGCCTTCAGCGTTGAGGGCAGGGAAGGCGGCAGTGTGGGCGCTTGAGTCCTGCCACTGAGCTCCCTGCAGCGCCCAGCCAGCCCAGCAGGGGGCGCCCACGGCGCAGGGCCAGGGCGCAGAGGCTGGGAAACCTCGGGCCAGTGAAACGGGGCTGCCAGAGGGAAGGTTTGTCTGCCACAGAACCTCACTCAGAGCTGCAGGGTCAGAAGGAGCCCTCAATCTTCAGCCAGGGCGCGTCACAGAGGGAAACCCACACGGCCAGCTCACCACCCCCGACTTGCCCTCGTTGGAGCAGAACGGGGCCAAGCTGCCTCTGCAGCTGAACCTGACCCACATCAGAGCTCCAGTCAGTCAGTGCCGCGCGAGTAGAGGGGCCCTCTGCCGGGGACAAACGCCCGTGCTCCCCCAGCACAGACGCAGGCAGGTGCAGCCTGCCCCACGACAGCGTCCACTCCCCACAGTGCGTGCCCTTCTCCGCAGACCGGGGGCGGCCTGCAGCGAGTCCCAGGCCCCGTGCACGCCCGCTCACCTGTCCGCGGCCAGGGCTCTCCTTGGGGACCAGCAGCGACACCACGGGCCCGAACTTCTGGCACTCCTCCCTCACGTCCTCCACGGCATCTGGGGACACAAACACAGCCATGCCCGCCCAGGGTGAGCAAGACCGTCACTCACGGCTGCGCGTCATCAGAGTTTGGCATCCGCGCCCGAGCTAGGACACTCCGGTGCTGTTACCTCTGGGCCAGAACCTGAACCCTAAACACACTAGGCTGACTGCTTCCCAGTAAATACCCTCGGATGCAGCCGCACCCACAATGCCGCTGGGTGACCACCATGCCCGCCCTCACCCTGGCCCCTGTGCCCCTCTCCCCCCAGCCCCGGCCCCAGCCAGTGACCGAGGGGCTCAGGTGCAGCTCGGTCCAGACCCCGGTTCCTCGAATCCGCCCCTCTGCCTGTCGCCCTGCCTTCAGACTGCCTGAAACTGGTGCCGACCCCCAACGCTATCACAGCGGGGACGGGGCTAGGCCTGTGAACGCTGGGGGATGTGACTGGAGACCCAAGTCCCCTCTTCGCATCAGAGGCGCACAGTGGGGGCCGGCACAGCGTGCGAGGCAGATGTGGGGGCCACGCAGGGCGGCACTGACCTTCATAGCCCTCCTCGCTGTCCAGGTCGTCGCCGTCCAGCACATTCAGCAGCCGCAGCACCGGGGTGGGCAGCATCACCAGGTCTTCGATGTGAGGGGCTGCGGGGTCACACAGCGCGGTCAGCGGTGAGTGCCCCGGGCAGGGCAGCCGGGACCCAGGGCACACCGAGAGCCGCAGGCCACTCACCGAACGGGACACTGAAGAACGGGCTGCAGAGCGCGGCCTCGGCGGGGACTCGCCGGCGTGGGTCGTCATGGAGCATGCTGCGGCACAGACAGGCTCTGCGTGACTGCCGGGCCGTGTGACAGCGGCCGTCACAGAGAACAAAGCCGGTGTTCGCCACCGCATCGACTGCGCCAGCGCAACCTGCCGATCGCTTGTCTACCAAACGCGGAAACACCCTGCACACACGCCACGCAGCAAACCCAAACGCCCCCGCCGGCGTGGATGGAACTCGGTAACCGTAACACCCACCAAAGCACGAGGGGAGAGACACCGCCTGGGCAGCTGCACCTGCACCCGAGGGCCCCCCTCTGGGGGAAGCACGGAGACACAGACTGAGCCGCCGAACCAGAGAAAAGAGCGACCCCGCACAGCCAGCGGGTCCTCGCTGAGGGGCAGGACAAGCCGACTGGGACCGGCAGCTGACGCTGCAGGGGCTGCCCCTCCAGACTCCAAACTGAGGCGAGAGTCCCTGTGGGTCCCAAGGGGGAGGGGCAGGTAGCCAGGCTGCAGGGCGTCTTTTTCATACTGACTCTAGATGCAGAGAGACAGAGAAAGACCTGTTTTGTGGTTCCACTTACTGATGCATTCACTGGTTGATGCCTGTACCTGCCCTGACGGAGGATCAAACCCACAAACTTGGTGTATGGGGACGCTCTAACCAACTGCGCTGCCCAGCCAGGGCCAGCTCTAGGACCTCTTACAGCTGACCAGCTGAAGCTCCTTCCTGGGCAAAGTCCCGCAGGAAAAAAAAATCTTGGGATCAGAATCCACACTGAGTAGGAAGGGGGTGGGGGCGAGACAGAGAGAGGGAGAGAGCAGGAACAAGGCAGGGGGCGGAAGGAAAACCTCAGGAAAAATAAAGAACCATTTCTGCCCAATGTCACACAAAAACAACAGAAGAAGGAGCCTGCAAAATACGGAGGGCAGCCTCAACTCCACTTTCTGCTGCGAACGTGAGTGAAGCGGCCCCATGTAAAAACGAGGCGCACAGGGAGCCCCTTCTCGGGGCCGTGGGTGCTGCCCGGTTCACGAATCGCTCTGTCCCCGGTTAGAGGACAGGGCCTGGGTAGGAGCTAGAAAAGGAAGCTGTTCCATAAAGTAACTAGAAGAGATACAAAATGAATAAACGTGAGACTTCATGTGTTAAACAGAAGGCAAGAAGGAAGAAAAAATTTTAAAATAAAAAAGAAAGAGATATAAGATTCAAGAGAAAGTACGAGCCCTGCAGGAGAGAAGTGGGGCCGTCCCGGCGAGAGTTTCCCAAGACGCCCGGGAGGGTCTGGCAGTGCCAACCCCAAACCACCGAGACCAAGTGGAATTCGGTAGTCACGGGACTTTATGAAAGATAAAACCCTTTGGCCGTCTAGATAAAAAGACCAAGTGACTCTTAATGTAAAGCAAATACTTTCAGCCTTTTTCATCCCGTGGCAGCATAAACTGCCAAAATTCTGCAGCACATCCAAAACCTCTATTTTTGGCTGATCTGACGAAAAAGCAGGTACGGTTTAGATTCACTCCCAGTGGGTGGCTACGGCCCTGTTGGCTGTTGTCACCTCCATCTGGCATTTTTATTTAGCAAGTGCCCCTGACTAGGCAGTTGGGTGCCATGGGCTTGAAAAGCCCGGGGGGCCCATGGGTGGGAGACGGCCGACGGAAGGACCAGCAGGCCCTCCGCTCTTCCCACAGCAGCGTGTCTGAGACACTCGGGGAGGGGTGGGGACGTGGGAGAACAAGACGCTACTGCTCTGTGACCCAGAGCAGAGAAGTCCCAGCGCCTGCCCCGACCAGCGAGTCAGACACAAGGGCCAGGCCCAGAGCAGTGGAAGTCAGACGATGGCGTCAGGGCAGAGGGGGCAGGGTGCAGTGGCCCGTGGCCGGCTGTGCAGACACAGCCCCGGCTCAGACAGGGGAAGATGGGGAAGCACGCAGACAGAGCTGCCGTCAGCCACGCAGCCTGAGCACCGCCGTCCCGAGGCGGCCGCTCCGATGCGCCGTGGGCGGCAGCGATGAGCGGGGAAGAGATCTCGGGCCCTCCACGCTCCCAGCCAGGCCCGCTGGCCTGGAGGAAAGCTGCCGGCGTAAACAGACAACATGACTGGTGGCCCCGAGTCTGCACTGGGAGACACAGCATGACTTCTGTCCCCTCAGAAGAGCCAGTGGCAGCAACCACCTGTGGGGACTGCTGCTCTGGCCCCCAGCCTGTGACGGCCCAATGCTGTCTCCTCCTGAAAGGAAGCCGGCGGTGACCGGGTCTGGGCAGGAAGGGTGACGGGTGCCCACGCGTGGCCATCGCCGACCGCAAGCACGCTGCCCCGCCGGGACAGGGTGTGCAGAGGCCTGCCCACCGCAGCGAACAGGCAGCTCGGACTAGAGGGGGGCAGCGGGCTGGGACACGTCAGGCTCTCGGACACGCGTCGGCCATGCCTGAGGCCCAGTTTACAGGGGCTGTTCACCTTCCAGGGGGCACGGTCCCCTTGGAGGAGGGCAGGGCGTCCGTGTGTTTCAAACACCAGGAACCAGAGAGAACCCACCTTCCTTCGTGTCTGGTCAACCCAGCGAAGGCCGAATGACAGATGACAACTGACCCGCCCTCGGCCCTGACAAGTGCTAATGGGAACGGCAGAGAGGGCCGCCCCCGTGACCAGCACCGGGCCACCCAGGCCTGCGAGCAGCTCTGGGAAGCCCCTGGCCTCCCCGGGCAGCACGCGGGCGGAGCTCCACGCCCAGCCGCACGGTGCGCACGCTGCGGGGTTCCTGCCACCAGCAGCTCCGCTGGGCCAACCCACCGGCACGGCCGGGGCAGCGGACGGAAGCCGCCCTTTCGCACTGAAGGAGGCTCCACGGGGACCCTCCCTCTCGGAGGAGCAGCTCCCCGCCGAGGTGTGCGAGGACGCGCACCTGGGCGATGGCCTCACTGGGAGCGAGCGGGGGCCGGCAGGGGGTCTGCAGCGGTTACGTCCAGGGAGGGAGAAGGGGCGACCGTGCCGCTCCACTCCCTGGCCCGAGCAGTGGACACGGCGCACCCAGGTCCAAGGAGCGGCGCAGTCGCGCTCAGGGTCTGTGCTGCCCCACACACCGCAGTCCGAACAACGTGCCGGACCCGCTGCCGGAGACACAGAAGAGCCCCGAGGAGAAGCACGCCAAGTGCTGACGGGAGAAAGGGGCAAAGGGGCTGTAATCTGTATCTTCCTCATCCCAACAACTTCCTGTTGCTTTGCATTAATTGTGTAAAAGGAAGAGCAATGGCTTTAGCTCTGGCTGGTGTGGCTCAGCGAACCAGAGGCCGCTGGGTCAAGGGCCAGGGCTCCAGTGGTGGGCGCAAGAGAGGCAACCACACGTGGATGCTTCTCTGCTGTCCCTCTCTCCTCTTGAAAGAAATGAAATCTTTTTAAAAGGCTATTATTTAAAGAAAACCCAAGCCACAAAATCAGTACTAGAATTTAGGTAGTTTTACTTCCAAGCTAGAACCCATTATGTAGTTTATCATTTTTAGAAAGCCACAGCCGCACACACACCACAACAGTCCCAGCGGCACAGAGCCCGTCTGTGGCTGTGCACGGCCCCTTCTCAGTGTGAAAGGCCCCACATGGCGTCCAGTCCAGGCACCAATGGCTGCTTGTTTGCTCTGTCACACACAGGATGTGGGACAAGAGGCCACGCCAGGCCTGGCCTTGTGGCAACACTTCCCCAAGTTCCTGTGAATCTACAGTCACTGCGAGTAAAAAGCAACTGGGAGACCCGCAGGGTCAGAAGCCGAAGCGCCTGATCAGTGAGAGCCGGGGGAGGGGGCAGCCGTACCTTTTGATGAGGTCTCGGAGGTGGTAGGCTGGGATGGCGGCATTCACCACCGCTTTGCTGGCAAACATGTGGTCGATGATGGCGGAGCTGTTGGCCTAGCAAGAGGGAGAGAAGCCTTCCTTTGGTGACGCGATTCAGTCACTGCTTCCTGAGGGCCAGGCGCTGGTGTCCTGTGAGACGCCACAGGAACCCGCCTCCCCCGACCGCGCACTCTGAAGGGAGGGACCGTGGGCAGTCGGTCACGGGCGGGTCCTGGGTCCTCAGCGCGGGCTCTGCGCCAGCGTGCACCATGTAAACGACCAGAGACACGGCACGGAGCGACCCCGGGAAAATGGAGCTCGTGTGAGTGCAGAGAGGAGGGTGTGTGGGGCGAGCCAGTGGTGGTGGCACCTCCAGGGAGAAGGAGCTCGGGGTGTAAGGCGGCACTTAAAGTCACATCACTAGCTCTTGACCCTGTGCACGTGACACTGCTCCCCAAGGACATGGAGGTGTGCACGGGAGCAGTCACATGAAAACTCACCGGACACATGCCACCAGCACACCACGCTGAGCACTGGGCACTTCCCTTCTGCCACCGTGACACGGACGTGAACTGTCATCGCCCTCACCGTGCAGACAACGACCAGGCCTGCAGGCTGCGCGGCGGACAGCTGGTGGGAGCAGCGGGCCGTGCATGAGCCCCGCAGCCCAGCCCAGGGGCCTCCACTGGCAGGCCCGCAGACAGGGAGACCGCGGTGTGGCCGCCTGGGGCGCGCACTGGGGTCCCACCAGACGCCATCCCAGGGGCTCAGATGGTCAGGGCCAATGCGCGGGGCAGCAGAAATGGCACTGGCCCGACTGTCAGGGGCACCAGGGACAAAGAAGGACACCGATCCCCCTCGCACGGCCGTGCTTCTGTACCAAAGGTGAGCACCCGGCACCCCCGCCGGGCCACTGCAGCGCTCTGCCCGGGCACTGACAGCCACACTCCACGTGACAGACGTCACCATCACAACCAGTGACTCCTCAACGCTGTGTTCTCAAACCTCCAGCCTGAAGCCTGCCACGGCCACCGCCACCGCCACATTCAAGCCCCAAGGGGTGTTTGCAAACAGGTGGGCGCACGGGCCCTGACTACACAGGGACCGACACGAAGCTCCCTGCTGTGCCCCCGGCTCGGAGCTCAGAGCCCAAGCTGCCAGAGGAGCTGCTGCACCAGAAGGCGCACGCGTGTCACAAAGAGGGCGGCGTGCGGAGCTGTGGGCAGAGCCGGAGGCAGGAGGGAGGGACAGTCGTGTGGCCCGGGGCGAGGGGTTTTCCACACCTGAGCCTCCGGTTCCCCTGAACAGAGTGACCTACACTCTTACTCGCTGTTCTCACGGAACCATCGGGAGAACTCAGTGAGCCTGTGTGTGAAAATGTTTCAACGATACGCACAAACTGCGAGCATGACGCAGAGTACCGTTCACCTCACAACACACTGTTGCACTATTAGCATTTGAGGAAGTAGCGTAACTAAATTACTAGACGAAAGAAATTGATTTTGCTTCTTGGGGAAAAGGCCCACGTCCCCGCTCTGACTCCAGGCCAGGCCCCAGCCCAGGAACCGGGAGGGATGCCGAGCCACACAGCTGCAGCCTGGGCGGGAGGGGCTCCGGCTGCACCCGCCCACCCAGGAGGCGGCATCGGCAGGCAGGAGGCAGAGTGCTCGCTAGAATCACAGGCTGAGATGCGGACCTGGGCCTGGGGACTCCGAGGGGAGCGGGCACCCGTTACCTTCCACTCCTGAGATCTGACCGTGTGCTTCAGCTTCGTTCCTGAGAACATCTCCAGCAGGATGATCCCAAGGCTCCACAGATCCACCGCTGACGTGCACTCTGTGTCGCTCTGCAGGCCGGCCTGGGCCAGGCAGTTCTGCAGCTCGGCTTCCGGAGCCCGGTACCCATCTGTCTGAATGTACTTCACATCCTAAAGGAGACGAGGAAACACTGCACCCAGTGAAAAACAGCTCGCTGTCCATCCGTCCACCTCTGCACTGTATTCACTGCCCACCGACACCAGGACACCCTGCCCTCAGCCACCCTCACTCCCCAGCTCCCCAGCTGGGCAGGTCTCACTGCCGGGCTGCACACTTTCCAGGCAGCCCCTGTAGAGACTTCCTTGGTCTCTTGCCTGCGAGGCACCGCTAATAAACAAGGACACTGTACAAAGACCTGACGAACTAAGACAAATGGGGGGTTGTCGGAACCAACACCTGTGGGGTCCCCAACAGTGCAGACACCAGTCATTCAGCAAAGAACGAAAGAGCGCCCTATAGGGGACTCACTGCGGACAGTTTCAGGCCCCTTCACATTTCACTGGCCCCGCTCCCTGACCAAACACATGCTGGCGATGAACTTTCCGTCTGCTTTGCCCCGAGGAGTCCAGAATCACAGTTACAAACAGACCGTGAGCCCCCACTAAACCACCTTTGCTCTTTACAACACCCGCATTAGACTCTGAAGTGGGCGGGAGCACTTCTTACCTGATTGCCCTCTTTGAAGCTCAGGCCAAAATCAATGAGCTTGAAACACTCGCTCTCCGCGCTCCACAGGATGTTCCTCGGCTTGAGGTCGGCGTGGACGTAGCCCTCTCGGTGAAGGAAGGCGAGGGCCTCCAGCACGTCCCGGGCGCAGTGCTGGATCACCCACAGGGAGCAGCCCTGGTGGCTGGAGTACAGGAGCAGCTCCGACACACTGACGTCCAGGAGCTCCAGCAACAGGCAGCGGGACGGCACGTTTGGGGAGAAGTGGATGGTGAACACTCCGTACAGAGTCACTGGGGAGAGAGGAATGGCACTGCTCAGGAGTCAGACCAAGCTGGGTGAGCTGCCACTGAAGCAGGTGACTAACCGCGGGCGCAAGCCCGGGACAGTCTGCAGAATAGTATCTCTGATGAGTGGAGAGGCTCCCCCTGCAACTTATTTTTCCCACGAGGAAGATTTTTGGGTCACTGGGTCACTTTAATAAAATAAGACGAGGCGACCTTCAGCAGCTGGTTACTATTCAAAGATATTACATGTGGCACAATAATTCAACTGGGTTTCACCAAACACTAGTGGTGGATGAATGTGCACTGAGGGTGCCCAGAAAGGATGAGCAAAAGTAAAAATTAAAAAATAAAAATAAAAAACCCAGCCCTGGACAAGTAGCTCAGTGGGTCAGAGCACCATCCGATGTTTCATTACAGGTTCCGTCCCCAGTCAGAGCCCACGCAGGAGTCAACCAATGAGGCACCAATAAGTGGGACAACAAAGCAGTGTTTCTCTCCCCCTTCCTCTCTCTCTCTAAAATCAATAAACAAGTTTTTTAAAAGTAAAACCCCAAATATTACATACTACTCAAGATGAATGTCACAATGTGGAAAAACAAAATTTGAAGATTGGCTCCGGATCCAAAACAGCACTCGATAATCTCAATATTAAAAGAAGGGAGTGTGCCTTTTGAAGACACATCTAATCTTTCGGAGACTCAACAAGTCCTTAGACATGCAAAACTGCAAAAATGTCCCCCTTAAACACCGCGGCTATATAGAAAGTGTAGTTTAAAACAAGCAAACAAAAAAACCCCAGTGTTTAGTGCTCCCAAACGGCAAAATACCGAAGGCCCATCTTCCACGATGTTGCCCAGGCAGCAAGTGGGGATTAGGCAGAACTAGAACGGGGTGGGGAGATGGGGGGGGGGGGCAACGGGGAACGCTGCCTTCGGTCCATCATCAGGGATCAGCTCAGACCTCACAGTCTGAGTGTCGGAACCAGAACCGTGAGCGCACTAGCTGCGCGGCTGTCACACTTCCACAAGGGCCCCTGTGAAACACTGAGTCACGTCTCGCCAGGCCAGACTACCTGGGGCTCGAGCAGCGTCCACCGGCGTTGCCAGCCGAGCAGGAGGGCCCGTTTCCCACTGCCTTGCAGAGGCTAAAAATTTCCACGCGAGTCCAGACGACATACCAAAGGCGCGGCTGCCGTCCTGGGGCCGGGCACCTGCGCTCCCCGCCCGCCCCACACCCGCTCCAGTTCGCCCGGCCGAGCGCGGACCGGCCCGCCACCCTCACCGATGTTGCGGTGGCCCTGCAGCTGCTCCAGCGCCGCGCGCTCCTTGCGGAAGCCGTACTCCGCGGCCGAGGCGGCGGCTCCGGAGGCGCCGGGCGGCAGGAACTGCTTGAGCGCGCCGGGGGGCGAGCCGGGGGTGCCACAGCAGCGCACCCGGTACACCGACGCCGAGGACCCGCTGCCCAGGCGACTCTGCACCTGCCACAGCCGCCCAAAGGCCTCCAGGAAGCGCGGCGGCTCGGCGCCCCACGCGCAGCCGGACCCCGCCATCCGCGCGGACTGAGGGTGACGCGGCGCTGACGCGAAGCCCGGCAGCCGGCCGCGCCCGTGGGTCACATCGCAGCCGCCGGCCGCTCCGCAGGGAGAGGCCCACCGCGCGCCGCCGCCGCTGCCCTCGTCCGGCTCAGGCCGCCATGACGCCGGAAGCCGCGCGCCCGGCCGGAAGCCGGAAGCCGGAAGCGGACTCGGAGCCCGGCCTGCTTCGGAAAGAGGCGGGAGCCCAGGCGGGCGTAACTCCAGGGAAGGAGGCGGAGCGCCCGAAGGTCCGAAAGTGGGTGTGTCTCTGGGCAGGTGGCGCTCAGATCCAGAGCTGCGCGTCCTAGGACCAAGGCAGCCTTTCCCGTCAGCAAGCCCGCCTCGGTCTGCGCATCGAGGCCGACACCTGGGAGAGCCGCTCCTTCCCTGGCCCCCGAGGCGCCGCTGCTGCTGAGGGGCCGAGAGCCCCGAGCCCCGCACATCTGCTCCGAGCGCCGCGGGCGCTCACTGTCCCCGGCCACCGCGGAAAGGCGGCGCCTCCGTTCCCTGCCTCTCACGCAGCGCTGGACGCTCCACCGCTCTGCTCGCTCTGCCCCTGAGCCTGCCCCGCCACGCTGTCACCGTAGCCCTCCGAGCACCTACTCTGGCGCCAGCGTACGCAATGCGCTGCCACACCGCCCTCCTCCGGAGGAATGCTCTCCATCCCTCCGGGCACATCCTCAAAGGGCCGGGGGAGCGCAGCGCCAGGCTCCCGCCAGGCTGAGTTCCCGCCTTCTCCGCCACGTTTGGACGTTAGACTGGGCGCCCTGGCAGCCCCCGCGCCTCCGGCCCCAAGCGAGAGTGGCGGGGCGGGGCGGGGCGGGGGGGGGGGAGCCGGGCAGGAAGAGGCAGCTGGCCCGTGGGGACTGTGGACAGGAAGTGCTACGTGATGCGCAGCCCGATAGGGCTCGCGAAGGACACCAGCGTGCAAAGGCTGGGTCGAGGGACTTCCTTCGAATCAGAGGCAGGAGCCGGGTCTGCCCAGAGCTGGGGGGAGCCGAAGTGGGGTCCACCTGGGCTGCGAGGGGTCCATGTGCGGTGGGATGCGTGGGGCTTTGTGCAGGCCTGAGGCCCTTAAGAGGTGTGTGGAAGTGCTAGATTCTGGAGAAAAGGGCTTACATTTTATACAAGTTCACTGTAGAAAAATAAAATACAAAGGCAAAGAGACCGGAAACCCTCTAACGACCCTGGTTAACATGTTGGTAAAATTCTTTCTAGACTTCTCTCTGAGCATTTACATACCCCTAGGAGCATTACACACTGGCACACACAACTGCACAGGCGCATAGATCTACTCATCTGACTCACCCGTCTGCAGCCTTTCCTAACTCAAACTACACCCCGGCCCCTTCCCACACCCGTGAAGGCAGGTGTTCTTGAGCCCCGTGCCGTGGGAGGCACCAGTCTGCCGGTCTGCGGGTGCTGGACCACCACCACCCTGCTGCCTCTCCCACGGCCAGTTCTGCCCTTCAAGCCACAGAGAGTCCAGCAACATTGGTGTGCCACCGGAGAACACACTCAGTGAATGATGCTTGGCCGCCGGAGAAGACAGAGGAGGCTATTCCTGAGACCCCCGGAACGAGGGGGAGACCCACAGCATCTGCCCCACACGGCTTCCCGCAGGGAGCCTGACCATGTGGCTGTGAGGGCGGTGGATGCTCTGCCATCTTCGTCTCAATGCCCAGGTTCTATAGGACTCTCTCACTCCTGTGACTTTCTCACTCGTATCTGGCCCTGTGGGCCCTTGGACCTGACAACAGAACTTCGCCTGGAAGGGCAGATTTACTTGACATCTTCAGTAAAAGATAGAAAAACAAGCTCGGCTGTCTCCTGACAGAGGGAACTGTATTCAAATGACAAGAAGCCCAGAGGCAAGGCTGCGGGAAGGACTCAGGATGACGAAACTCAGGGGGAACCTGAGTAGGAAGTTCTCCTTTTCTCACAGGTTTTGTAAGGCTGTGGGTGAGGCCCGGAACTGGGTGAGCGGGCGAGACACAGCGCGTGGCTCACTCAGAGCTGTGAAGACATGGCCCAGTCTCGTTAGCACCATCCTCTGGCTCAGATACAAACAAAAAGAAGAAAAACTACTTTCTTGCAATGAGAACTTTCAGGCTTGACTCTGAACCTTCCTGCACCACTCAGCAGTGTTACCTGCAGTCACCACGCTGGCTGCTTACTATTTTGCAGCTGAACATTAGTAGCTTTTGAACCCCTCCCCCCAACTCCCTCCCCGGCTCCCACTCTGCCTCTGGGAACCACAGGTCTGATCTCTTTGTCTATGAGTTTCATTGTTTTTGTTTGTTTTATTATTTTATTTATTTTTACAGAGGGAAGGAAGGAAAGAGAGAAAAACATCAATGTGTGGTTGCCTCTCCCACGCCAGCCCCCATGATTGGGGACCTGGCCCACAACCCAGGCATGTGTCCTGACCAGGAATCGGACCGGTAACCCTTTGTTTCACAGGCTGGCGCTCAGTTCACTGAGCCACACCAGCCAGGGCTTGTTTCTCTCTAAATCTCCATGTAAAGGAAATACGGTATGGTCATACAGTATTTATCTTTCTCTGCCTGACTTAGTGTGTCACTTAAAATGCCCTCAAGTTCAATGTTGTCACAAACAGCAGGATTTCTTTCTTTTTACGGCTAATTTCCACTTGATAACCGCATGCACCACATCTTCACCGTTGATGGGCACCGTGGTGGCTTCTGTAGGTTGGCTGCTGTGAATATGGGGGAGCCGACACCTTCCACAGTTAGTTTTTTTATACCCTCCAAACATACCCATGTAGGAGTGAAACTGCTAGATGACACAGTAGCTCTGTTTTTAATTTGTCGCGTCCGTACTGGTTTCCACGGTGGCCACACCAGTTTACTTTCCCACCAACAGTGCACACGGGTTCCCGTTTTCCAACATCCTCCCCAAAACTCATCTCTTGCCTCTTTGGTAATGGTCATTCTGCTAAGGGTGAGGTAGTACCTCACCGCCGTTTCGATTTGCGAACCCCTGATGACGAGCGACCCTGAGCATCTTTTCATGGAGCTGTTGGCTGTCTGTGTGTCTTTGGGAAAATGTCTATTCAGATCCCTGGTCCATTTTTTAATTGCATTGTTTGCTTCTTGTTGCTATTGAGTTGTGTGAGTCTTCATGTGCTCAGAAACGGATCTCTTGTTGGACACACGGCTTGTGAATAGTTTCTTCCCCTTCTGCAGGCCGCGCTGGCCGTTGGCAATACTGTCTGGTGAACCCTACTTCTCTCCGTGAGTAAGCTTCCTTCTTCATCTTAGGGAAGATGAAGTTCCCTCTCTTTGCCTGGCTGCCGGGAGGGCCCTGTTGCATGGCCATCCCTAGAGGAGTCTTTTCCATCATTTCCCCGTCCCTCCCAGTGTCCTGGGCAGAGCTTTCTCTCCTGTTTTCGGTTTCCTCAGACTCCTCGAAAGGGCTTCTGATGAGCCCATCTTTGGTCCAATCCATGGTGGCCACAGGCATGGCTCTTGGCTTGGATTTCCGCCAAGGAGAGAAGCAGGGCTGGCTGCGGAGGAACGCCACTTCTGCGGACCGTGTGGCTATTTTCAAAGGTGACGTGTGCCGCGGACCAGCCTCTCCAGGAGAGGGGAGGGGGTGGAAATGAGTCAAGGACGCAGGGAGTCAGGTTGGAGAGGTCTCAGCATCCCGCTGAGCCCCGAACTCCGTTTATTCAAGGCTTTTATTACAATTATGGGGAATAAGCAGGAGGGGGCCGCACCCAAGCCAGTTTCTTTGTCCTTTCTGCAAAGCTACTCCACGGAACAACAGGGGAACACAGGGTGCTATCAAAACTTCCCTGTTTTTCAAGCACCAGTGCATGACCTACCCTTCTACAGGGAAACAGGCTGTCTAGCTTATGCTAATAAGTTCTTGGGAAACCTACTGTCTACCCACAGCAGGTTCTAGGCAGGGAGCCAAGCAAGGTGGAGAGGAACTGCGCCACGGGCAGCGGCCTTGCCAGCTGACCCTGGCCCCCCGGCTTTGCCAAGGGGGGCTTGCGGCGCCCACAGACGTGGAATCAGAATAGCGTCAGAGCGGAAAGGCTGCTTCATCGTGAAAAACCTTAAACACGTTCAAAGATGGACGTTAACATAACAAACCCCACACGCCACCGCCCAGCGATGGACACGTATCCACATAGGCACGATGCCATCCCCGCCCCCGGCAAGATCAGCAAGAACTCCCTGGTGTCATCTAGTGTGCACTCAGAGTTTAGGTTTCCCCTACGGCAGGAAATTGTTTTTTAAAACCAGGATCCAAGCAAGATCCTCGCACTGCGCTGGTTTTGTGCCTCACAAGCATCTTTAGACCAGGAGCAGCCCCCACCCCAGCATCTGACTCGGTTTGCATGGCATGGGCCCACGGAGAAGCCTTGTTCGCGCTCCCGTGGAAGGTCCCACACAGGGGCATCGCCCGCCTTCTTCCTCAGGACGGCCCCACAGGGAAAGGCTGGTTGCGTTCACTCATCGCGGGGGCTCCTATGTTTGAACGTCTGCTCCACAGAGGCCTGTGCACTCCCTGCTGCTGGCTGGTGCACCTTCAGTGGCCGATCACCTCTCCTGAGACCTGCTGAGCCTGAGGCCGGCGGGTGCAGGTGGTGACGGCCTGGTCTCCCTTTGTCAAGGTCACTCTCAAACATTCGTCTGAAGTTTTCACCCACTGACTATGTTCCCCCGGATTCCTTATCCCACCGAGTGTCAGGAAGTGGAACGGAGCTGGTTCTGTCTCCGGTAAAGGCGTGCATCGCTTTGCCAGGAATACCAGATTCCCCTCTGCGGCGTGGATTCAGCTTGCACTTTCTGAGGCTGAGTGGGGAGGAGGGGACTCAGCTTGAGGGTGATATGGTTGATAGAAAGGGGAGAAAGCTCCTGTGGGGACAAAGATGAGCCGGCACCAGTGACCCCTGCCTCGCTCAGAAAACAGCCGCACACCAAGCTTGGCACCCGAGCCCCTCTCTGACTGTCGGGCAGCCTCTCCGCACCTGCCGTGACTTCCAGGAAATACATAGACGGTGCCCACGGCCGCTCACAAAGCCGGAATTGGAGAGCAAATGTCTCTTGATCAGTGTCATTGAGCTGTAGTTCCTGACCCCAACCCCAGAGGCGGGGGTGCACCAGCCAGCCACAGCACCCAGTGGGGAGGTTCAAGGTCAGGCTGGCCTCTCAGGCTGTGAAAATCGTCCTCTCAGTTAAGAAGGCATTAAGAGCACACAGTCCTGTTTGCGTAGATTCCTACCTGAGATACACAGCAAATCCTATAGACATTTGAGCAAGGCAGCTGAATGGGGGGGTTACATACATGTATACCAACTGACATTCATTTAGATATGTTCACATGGCTGATGTCTCTGAAATTAATAGTTTGTTGGTTAGTACTAACAGGGAGGATGAGCTGGTTGCTCAAAAGCTGTGGAGGAACTGGGAAGATGTTGGGCAAAGCGTAAAAACTCCCAATTATACGAGGAATGAGTTCCGGGAACCTATGGTGTGCAGCGTGGTAATTACAGTTCCTAACCCTCCATCACACACAGTAACAGTAGATCTCAGATGCTCTCACGACAAAAGAGAAATGGCAATTATGTGGCCAGGTTGGAGGTGCCGGCTAATGCTACTGGTGGTGACCGTTTCTGCAACATAGAAATGTATCATCACATTGTAAACCTGAAACTTACACAACGTCACATGTCAATTGCATCTCCATTGTATCTTCCCTCGGGTAACGGTAACTCGGTAACTCGCAGCCTCAGACAAGAGAAACCGCGGATCCCAAGGGCACCAGGAAAACCAGGGGATCTTTCCACCAGCGCCAGCTTGTCAGTTTGGGGCCTGTGGCTGGACAGATGTTTCTTGGTCCTTCTTCACGGGAAGCATCACTTCTGTCTCCAAGGTGGAGACCTGAAACCAGGCCTAACGTCCCCATTTCTTCTGCCTGAAAAACTATCCCGGTGCTAACTTGCACACCCCGGTGTCCCTCCACCTGCACCTCCTACTTCCCTCTAAGCACAACGCCAGGGATGGCCTCAGTCACCGAAGGCCAGAGCTTTGTCCAGGGGACAGGCCACCCGCACACACGGTCAGAGGCAGCCCCCACAGGAGACGGGCGCCATCACAGCGAAGGGCGGTGCCGCTCTCCCTGCAGTGGGCTCTCGGGGATGGGCTGACCTGTACCCCAGCCCTGGGGAGCCAGACTTCAGCAACCGCAGCGCCCCCCGAACACCAGAGCCCTGCAGGCTCTCAGACAGGCCTCACACCCCATGAATCACGTCTGCGGCCCTCTGTTCGCTGAAAGGTCCCTGTCACTCACCACCTCCCCCTTCCCACTTCCTGAAGCTGGTGCAACTGACCGAGTCCACAGAACAGTCTCCTCTGTAGCCAGGGGAGGAAGCTGTGCTGGATGTGCGCTGGTTCCGGCGAATGAGAGGCTCCCATGGATCTGCCCTATTACCACGGCCCTCTGTCCAAGAAGGACTGCGAGGGCCTGATGCTCACGCAGCCGGTGGACGGCAGCTTCCTGCTGCGGGACAGCGAGTCCCTGCCGGGCGTCCTGTGCCTCTGTGTCTCGTGAGTAGCCTCACCGTCCCCGTGTCTGAAACCACAGAGTGGCCGTCCAGACCGCAGCCACATGAAACAGAGCTGGCATTTTGCGCTGATGCAGCAGCCCCGGCGAGCAGAGCCAGCCTGGGTCCCATTGGGGACACCGCAGGGGTGCCGTCCACGGCCTCCGTCTGCCTCCGTCCTGGCGCAGACGCCAGAGTCACGGGCAGGAGGGCAAAGGGCAGGGCCGCAGGGTGCGAGTCCGGGAGGGGCCGCGGGCCAGGGGGTCCTTTTCTGCCCATTTCTCTGCTGAGGAAAAGGTCAGGGCCCTTTGGGCAATTTCTCTCTGAGAGACTGAGGTTTTACCCGCGTTCTCTCCACTTACAGTGCTTTGCATGCTGATGACGTGTCCTGCTTTGTGACATTTGCAAAGGGCCAAGGCAGACAGCCTCCCCCACAGCCTGCGGTGGCCGGTCAGGGCACGCACCTTCGAGATGCAGACACGGGACCAGGGCTTCTCAGACGGCTGTTCTGCTGCCATTTGTCTGGTGTTTCCCAAGGGTCTGATCTCATTCTGAGACTCTGGGTTTGATGTCCCGGCCAGAGCCACCAGGGCAGCCTAAGAGCATCCTTGTTCAGGCCATTGAGACAAACCCATAGAGGGCTCGGCGGGCACCTGCTATTGTTCCGTGTCTCCCGGGGGAGACCACTGAGCCTTCTCTCCTGCTTCCCACAGGACTGAAAGCCCAGTGTGTCCCCGGGTGGGCGTGAGGGAGCCGTGGGACGCGGTGGCCGTCAGCGCTAACAGACCAGGCCGGGGGCTCCTTGCTTCCTGTGGGGCTGGGACGCAGGCGTGGGGGAGCAGCGTGTGTCAGTGTGTCAGTGGCTGGACTCCTTGAACCCCAAGTGCTGTTGACACGGTTTCGTGTGTTTTGTAGCCACGAGAAATTCCTCTTTTCAGAACGGTACCGTCGTGCCTTTGTCCGTCTCTAGCTCTGTCTTCTTTTTATTGATTTTTTTCCAGTTTCCGTGTAAGAAGGCAAATATTTTTCACACACACACACACGCACACACACACGATAACTACAGACCCATTTTAATTTCTTTTAATATCAACTTTCTATAAACCACTCACCAAACAGAAGCCATCAGCGTAAAATGCACTGTGTTCAAGTCGGGCTTCCCCGTCTAGAAAAGGACTGGTTTAGCCACGTGTTCACAGGGGTCGCAAACTGCGTAGCTCACTCAAACTTTCTTAAAACGTAAAGTTCAACATGCACCCCTCAGTTTAGCACACCCAGACGCACACACGTGCACACACATCCCCACCCATGTAGTTACACGCTCCCGACCACACACAGCTAGGTCGGGACGTCCTTCACCCAGGGCCGGGCAAAGCTCCCGAAGGCACCAGTGACAGTGGCCGGCACTCACTGTCACACTTCTGGGTCACACGCTTGGTCAGAGGAAATGTGTAAACACGGTGAGAAAGGTGCAAAGTTATTATCTGCAGCTGAAACGGTTTTATACCTGTGAAATGTAGCGTTTAACTGAAAAAAAAAAAAAGTACTAAAATGTCGAGGAAAAGTCAATAAGGATATCGCCTTTCTAAGCAAGATATAGAACCCAGAGAGCAAAAAGGGAAAGACAAATATGACCATTGTAAAAAAAACAAAAAAAAACCAAACCTGATGTTGAAAGCAACTTTAAAAAAATAATCTCCATGAACAGGGAAGAATTTTAAAACAGTAGAAAACTAAGGGAAGGACCCCAGGGTGAGAAGGGGATTATCTAAAATAGACACGAAGAAGCCAGGTCCCACTCTCGACCGACGAGAGACAAAGACAAGACGCACGAGAGCCCCTCCCGCCCTCCACGGGGAGAACAGGGCTCCGCGGAGCCGCAGGGGAAGCCGCACCCAGAGGAAGGGCCCCGGCCCGAAACCTCACTGATGGAAGCTGCTCTCACGGCGGCCGTGCACCGAGAAACAACCCTGTATCCCCAGAAGGACTTCTTTTTGTGGATGGGGGAGAAAGGATTGCCGTCGGCCCTTCAGACGTGGGTGCCCGGCGAGGCCTCCGCCCGGGGGGGATGAAGGCCCTTCTCAGAGGGGAAGGGACATCCAAGGTTGGATGACCACACAGTTCGGTCGGATGCAGAGGCTCCAGGGCCCCCCCTTGACCCTGCTGACCCCACTCCTGCCAGGCTGGGGCCTGGGCCCCACCACATGACACCGGCGCTGCGCAAATTGGTGGGCAAATCCAGCCACGGTCTGGAAAAACGTGCCAGACCTGCGGCTGTGTGAGCAGGTGCAAGGCAGAGCGTGACCCTGGTGGCGTGAAATAAAAGACGCCGCCTCCACCCCCATGTCCGAGCAGAATTCCCGGCAGGGGTGGCAGTCCCCGCAGCGGCCACGCCCGGACCCCTCCAGGAAGGGGCCGTGGCCCTGCTCCTTCCCTGTGATAATGTCTCCGCGCCGTGGACGTGGCCCGGGTGCAGGAATGACTTCTGTAAGTTAAAAATTGGGTGTGAAACTAGCAGGTCCTGCCAATTCGAACGCCGTGCGGAGCCTGGGGAGCTTTCCACGGGGAGTGTGCACCTTTTCACCACGGAGCTCCAACGTGTAAGTGAATAGAACGAGGTCGAGTGTGAACACCAGAGCAGATGGTGTTGCTCCAAAGCACGGACAGAGGTGAGCGGAAAAGCCCCGGAGAGGCATGGGGCTCCCACTGGAGAGGGGACGGTCACCGGTCACCGAGGAAGGGCAGACGGCGCGAGGACAGGAGGGGAACGTTTCCAGGGCTCTGGACGGGCCCTTTGGAAGCGGCCCTAGGGAAGCGCAGGTGTGGGGTCGGGTCATGGCGCCTCTGAAGAACAAGGCTGCAGACCCTGGGAAGACCCGGGTGGCTTCCGGGCAGAGACGGGACCAGGCTGGTGCTGAGAGTCTGGGACTCGAATCTGATCTGGAGAACTTACTACGGTGACAGCCAGCCAGCCGGGGAGACCCAGGGACTGTCAGGCTGGGGGTGGGGTGGAGCCAGCGGGGCTGAGGCGCAGGGAAAGAGGTGACACAGGGGCAAACCTGGACCCACTTGGGGCAGGAAGCCTGCGCGGAGCTCTCTTTAGGAATCCACTTTACTCCCAACTCCTCTGCGGCGCAGGGGCCGGGCTTGTCACGGTCCCCGTGAACCTCGTCATCGCCCAGGCCAGTACAGGACATCCAACTCGGGCTGTTCAGCAATGAGCTCCTCGCACAGGGCCGAACAGAACTGAGACTCTGAGGAGCAGGGATGATGGGCCCTGGCAGCCCCCGCGCCTCCGGGCCCCGGGCGAGAGTGGGGGGGCCAGGCAGGAAGAGGCGGCCGGCCATGGCGACTGTGGACAGGAAGCGCTACCCGATGCGCAGCCCGATAGGGCTCTCGAAGGACACCAGCGTGCAAAGGCTGGGTCGAAGGACTTCCTGCGCATCAGAGGCGGGAGCAGGGGGAGTCGAAGTGGGGTTCATCTGGGCTGCCAGGGGTCCACGTGCAGTGGGACTCGCGGGGCTTTGGGCAGGGCCACCCCGCCCCCAGGGGCGGCCACCTGCTGGGTCTCACCACGGAGGTCAGGCCGGAGACTCACTTCTCACTCTCAGGTTCTGAGATCTTAGGAAGACTCAAGCTCAGAAAGAAAAGAAATAAGTCAGTCTTGTTTGTCGTTTTTCAAAAACCCAATGAAGAGAAAAACACAGGAACAGGAAGCAGGAGGTGTCTCCGAGGCGCCCTCAGATCACCTGGTCTGGCCACGGCCACAGCCACCTCTGCCGACCTTGTGAGCTCGGTGGGCCGAGTCCTCAGCGCTGGGGGACAGCCACACTGTCCTTCTGTGGTCTTTATAGTCTGGTTGAAATAAAACTAAAACATGCCCACAAACGAGTCTCCCCGCAACCCCAGCCACAGCTTGAGCCTGGCACCAACCTGTGAGCTGCTTGTGACCTGCGCCCAGGGACCCAGCACACCCGTCACCACCCACACCTGCCCGACAGTCTCTGGAGCATCCGCGTCCGCCCTTTCCGACCGCACCTGAAGACGGGAGGCCAAAGATTTGAAAACACACCTCCCACAGGCTGAAGGCTTCCCAGAACTCAGAGGTGACAGATCGACTCACCTGAACCACACGTCTGGCCGCCTGCCCAGAGCCGACCCCGCTCCGGCTGCCCCCACCCAGGACTAAGCCCCCCCGAGGTGCCCTGACGGCCAGACAGCAAACAGAAAAACGCCTTTTCTACCCAATGCGCCAGGCCCACCACGAACTCAGCACCGTGTTGCCATTTCTCCCTCGCAGATGAGAAGAGGGGGCAACTGAGTCATGTGTTAGATCAGGTTGCGCATTTTTAGGGAAGCACTGAACAGCCCCAGCCGGGTGGCCCAGTGGGCTGGCGCCGAACCATAAACTGAGAGGCCATGGGTTCGATTCCCAGTCAGGGCTTGTGCCTGGGTTGCAGGTGGGGTCACAGTTGGGGCCTGTGGAAGAGGCAGCTGAGTGGTTTGCCTCTCACGTCGATGTTCCTCCCTCTCTCTCTCTCTAAAGTCAGTAAGCATGGCCTCGGGGGAGGATGAGAGAGAAAGAAAAATAAACCGCCGAGCTGTTCTCCAAAGTGAGAGCCCTTCCGCCCGGCACGCTAGCATCTCGTCTGGCGGCTTCACGCCGACCACGTCAGTAAGTGTGCGGGGCTGTTTCTCGTAGTTCTGACCTGCACCTGGCTCTTGACTGACGATACGTCTCCTCACCTGCTTTCTTGCCATCCAGGTGTCTCCTGAGACAGAGCGTCCCTTCAAATATTTTGCCCATTTTGAATTATTTTTGTATTTGATTTCTGATTGAGTCTCGCTGACTCTTCCCACCTTGGATGCTGGTTGTCTACGAGGCGGGAGCTTTGTAAATGCTCCCCTCCCATCTGCGCCTCGTCCTTTTGTCCTCGGAACAGGACACGTCGGAGAACAGAGGACGACAATTTTAATGAAGCCTAATTCTTCCATGTTTTCTTTTGTAGATGTTTTATGGAAGATGCTATTACAGTTGTCCTATTTTCTCCCCCTTCTCCCCCCCCGCCCTGCACCACCCCCCACCCACATTCCCCCCCTTAGTTGGTCTCCATGGGCGTACACACAAGTGCTTTCACTTCTCCATTTCCCACACTGTTCTCACCCTCCCCCGCCCCGTCTATTTTCTACCTACCATTTCTGCTTATTTCCTGTACGTTTCCCTGCTCTCTCCTCCCCATCCCCACCGAAATCCCTCCATGTGATCTCCATTTCTGTGGTTCTATTCCTGTTCTATTTATTTGCTTAGATTGTTTTCATTTTTGCTTTAGGGTCAGTCGTTGATAGTTGTGAGTTTGTTGTCATTTTACTGTTTGTATTTTTGATCTTCTTCTTTTTTTAGGTAAGTCCCTTAAACATTTCAGGAAATAAGGGCTTGGGGCTGATGAACTCCTTTAACTTGACCTTATCTGAGAAGCACTTTATTTGCCCTTCCATTTTAAATGACAGCTTTGTTGGATAGAGCAGTCTTGCATGGAGGTCCTTGCCTTTCATGACTTGGAATACTTCTTTCCAGCCCCTTCTTGCCTGCAAGGTCTCTTTTAAGAAATCAGCTGACGGTCTGATGGGAACTCCTTTGCAGGTGACTGTCCCCTTATCTCTTGCTGCTTTTAAGATTTTCTTCTTATCTTTAATTTTGGCTAATGTAATGATGATGAGGCTTGGTGTGTTCCTACCTGGGTCCACCTTCTTTGGGACTCTCTGAGCTTCCTGGATGTCCTGGAAGTCTATTTCCTTCACCAGATTGGGGAAGTTCTCCTTTATTATTTGTTCAAATACTTTTCCACTTGTTCTTCCTCTTCTCCTTCTGGCACCCGGATAATTCGGATGTTGGTGAGTCTAAAGTTGTCCCAGAGGTTCCTAAGCCTCTCCCCATTTTTCTTAAATTCTTGTTTTTTCATTCTGTTCTGGTTGAATATTTATTTTTCCTGCTGCTCCACTCATTGTTTTGACTTCTGCTTTCCTTCCCATCACTGGTGGTTCCCCGTACATTTTTCTTTATTTCACTTTGCATACCCTTTGCTTCTTCCTCTGTTTTGGGACCATGCTTACCCAATTCTGTGAGCATCCTGATCACCAGTGTTCTGAACTCGGCATCTGATTGGTTGGCTGTCTCTTCCTCGCTTAGTTCCATTTTTGGAGCTTTGATCTGTTCTTTCATTTGGGCCTTTTCTTTTCTTTTTTTGGTCTCAGCATGCCTGTTACTAGTAAGGGGCGGAGCCTTAGGTGTTCACCAGGGCGGGTCAACCCACATGGCTGCATTGTGACACTGTATGTGGGGAGGGGTCCGAGGGGAACAGCGCTGCTTGTTCAGCTGCCGGCTTTCAGCCACTTCCCCCGCTGCCCACAATCAAACTGGGCCCTTCTGGTGCTGATTCCCGGTAGGTGGGCTTGTGGACATTCTAGGCTCCTGTGGGTCTCTCCAACAAACTCTCCTGTGAGGCTGGGAGTTTCTCCTGCTTCCGCCTCAACCCCCACAGGTCTTAACAGTCTATTTCCCTGGTGCTGGAATCCTGGGTTGCGCGGTCTGTCTCGATCCCCAGTTGTTCCTCCTGGTTTATTCACACACAGACGTGGGACCACCCTGTTCGGAAGCTGCCACCTTGCTACACGTGCTCTCTCCCAGCTGCCGATCTCCGCCCCTCCTACTGGTCTGGGCGAATGTCTCTTTAACTCCTTGGTTGTGGATTTCTATACAGTTCGATTTTCTGTCAGTTCTGGTAGTTTGTTTTTAAATCTGTTGTTGTCCTTCTTTTGGTTGTGGGAGGAGGCACAGCGTGTCTGCTTCCACCTCCATCTTGGCCGGAAGTCTCCATTTTTTTTCTTTTATGGATTGTGATTTTTGTGTTGTGTCTGATAAATCTTTGCCTATCTTCATTCACGGAGATTTTCTCCTAATTTTTCCCTGGAGTTTCATAGTTTCAGGTGTTTCATTTTGGGTAGTCCAGTCCAATGTTATTTCTGTAACTAGGATGAGAAAAAAACTCTTTTCTTGAAGAATTTAATGGAAGCTATGTGATAACTGGGCTCCAAACCAACCACGTGACCAGCTGAATACAACGTCGGGGCCCCGATCTGAACGATACTTCTGGGGAAACTTTCCTGAGCCCTCCTCTCAGACTGCAGGCCCTCTCACCTGGCCACAGGTGCCCCAGGGCCCGTGTAAACCTTCTGTTGTTTGGTCCAGGACTTGGGGACACGCGGGCTTATTCCGGCCTCATTCCGGCCTCAGGAAGCCCCACAAACAGCGCAGGGTCTGGAGTGAACAGAACGGTCCCGACAATCGGCCGCACGGCCTGCGGCCCCTCAGGCTGCAAGGGGGCATCTGGCTCCCCAATTACTCCCGAACCCGGTCATTGGATTCGCTGGTGCAGACACAAGTGTTGGGGTCGATCGGGCAGGCGGGCCCTCAGCTCAGTGACTGCGAACGTCAATTTCACACTGCAGTATTTCCGTGGATTCCAAACCTGTGAGAGCCGGTGGAGAGCTATGATTGCATCCACCCTACTGGTGACATCTGGGAACAGGAGGGACATCTCAGTTCCGGCTGAGTCACTCGGTCAGCAGCCACCGTCCCCAAGAGAAGCAAGGGCATGACACGTGGTTCTGATGTGCGCTGCTTCGGTCACACTGCGGTCCCTTGTGGGCCACTCCCTGAAGCACCAGGCAGGGCTCTCTGGTGTCCTTAGAGCTGAGAGGGGACCAGAGGCCCAGCCGTGAGTCCTCTGTCCTTGTGCCCTTGGCTGCGACCCAGATGTCCACCTCCCAGGTGGGGTCCCCGCTTCCAAACCGCACTCTCCCCAGGTCCCACCACTGAAAGGGTCAGAAAATGACCGTTGGTGTTGAGACTCCCAGTTGACAGAGGCTTTGCTCGCTCCGCGTGCCATGGGCACCAGCAGGTAAGACCCACCTGACTCAGTTCTCTCTCCAGGTTCAGAAACCTTGTCTACACGTACCGCATCTTCAGAGAGAGACGTGGGCAGTACAAGATACAGGTGAGGACGGCGCCACAAGACCTCCCGCGGCCCCAGCTGCAGGCCAGGGCAGGCGAACCTGGGACCATCGTCCCCGGGGACATGCAGGGGAGTGCGTTCCACAAAGGGACAGAGCCAGGAAAGCACCCCTGTTTTGCCCCACTTTTGACCAACCAAGGTGGCTATTCAAAACGGAGAGTCCCACAGCCCCGGCTTCTCCGTGGCCGAATGCACCGCTGGACACTGGGCGCAGCCACGGAGGAGGAGGGGGCCTGCGATGACCGGGAAGGGGTGGAGAGGGTGGGGGCAGGTGTGGGGGTTCGGGAGTTGGGTGGGCCCCGTGGTTGGCTGCCCGGAGCCCAGGAGCTGCTGCGGGGGTTCTCTCCTTTTTCACTTTCTCCGAGAGTTCAGCAGACACATTTTTCATACATTTGTTTGCTTCTTTTAAATTTCCTTCTATCAGGTTTATGTTAGAAAACCGTCCTTGCTGGACAGCCCGTGAACAGAAAACGTGCACCATGGCCCCAAGCACGCTGGCGAGGCTGCTCTCAGCTTAAATCGAGACGCTGCGTCTCGCTTGTTCCCCCGGGGGTCCCGTCAGGTGTGCAGCTCCCACATTCGCGTTTCCCGTCTGAAACCCACGCCTTCGGTCCCCAACCTCCCCCCCCAAGAGCGAGGCCCATCAGCAAGGTGTCAAGTGGCACCAGCTGCCCCTGAGCCACTGTGGGGCTCGCACAGGAGGTGGCCTGCTGGGGTCCCCGGTGGCTGAGTCACAGGCGTCCTGCAGACCTGCTGTCCCTGGGGGCCATGGCCTGCCAACTCGGGGGCCACCCAAAAATGTCACCTGTCACATAGGATCGCGTGACGCTGAGTGGCCTCCTCCCTCTGTTTCCACAGACCGCGGATGGTGTCCCGACACAGACCTTTTCCAGCCTCAGGGAACTGGTCTCCAAATTCAAGAAGCCGAATCAAGGGCTGGTGTCTCCCCTTCTGTACCCCGTGGAGAGGGCCAGGCCCTGCCCGAGGTGGCGGAGCTCGAAGGTGGACGTGGACGACGATTTCGGTACAGCCGTCCCTCGGAGCCAGCACGGGGCGCAGGGTGGGGGGCCTTTCCCTGACCCTGCACCGAGGACCCCTCATCCCAGCTGGTGGGGGGCAGGTCTCCCTCCCCACAGGCAGGAGGTTGGGAAGATTCCCGGCGCCGGGTTCCATGCTGGTCCCTGCTTGTCCCCAGAGAACTGCAGCAGCGAGTACGTGGAGGTCTTGCCCTGAAGGCACCGGGACGGCCGCGCGTGGAGAAGACTCGGGTGTCTGGAGACCGGACCCAGGGGACACGTCACGCTGGCCTGGTCTGGTGACGGCAGGCGTCCTGTCCCAGCCTCCAGACCACACAGAGCAGGCAGCCAGGAGCCCCGCCGGCTCTGGCTCCCGTTCCCCAGCACCTGACACTGGGGGTCCTCCTGGCCGCCCTCCGCCCTCCCTGTGCGGGGGGGGGGGGGTGGCAAAGGACCGCTCCCCCTGGGCACTGGGCCCCTGACTTTGGGTGCAGCTCTTCCCCCTCCTGGGACTCATCTCTCCACCTGGGATGGGGGACACACTGGCCCTGCCGGGCCGTGTCAGGCGAACTCGAGGCCCTGGAGTGACGAGCAAATACGCCAGCACCCGTCGGGGACACGGCCTCCCGGCCAACTCGTCCCCTGCAGTGGTCGCGCTGTCCTGGCCACGGGACCCTCAGGCCCGAGGACCCGCCTTCCTTCTTTCCAGCCTTGACCTTGCTGCCCAGCACGGCCCTGGACACATCTGCCCCCAGGCTTTGCCTCATTTCATCGACACACTTGCCACCTGGCTGCAAGGATGAGCTTTGTCCGGTGACACGTGTGGGGATGTTGTAGGGACCTGCGTGGCTCCTGTCCCCAACCAGGTTTTAAGTGCCACTGAAGTGTGGCCAGGCCCCCCGTGTCCTCCTCATGTGCAGAAACACGTGCTTGTGCAGTGACGCTGGAAAGGTGTTCCCGAAGGGCTGGTGGGGCTGGCCCCAGGCCCCGTCGGTTTTTCTCCAAGTTGTTCCAGAAAGAAACTGCAGATTTCTGGATGGCGTGAGCAGACCGGGGGACTGGAACCCCAGAGGGGAGCTGTGGGGGCCCATGGGTCCCAGCGATCGCAGCTGCCACCAAGCGGAGGAGGTGTAGACCTCGAGGCGCAGCCCCACCCAGAGAGGGGGTGTGGAGCGGACCCTTCCGGTGGGCTCGGGGAGGGCCCAGAAGCAAGCCCGGTGCCCGGGGCGTCCTGGTCTGAATCCCTCCGTGAGGCACAAGGAGTGTGTTCCCGCCCCGGAGCCCCCACCGTCCTCAGCACAGACCAGACAGCTGGGAAGGTTCCCAGAACAGACACTGAGTAGGTCTGCGCGCACAGTGGGTCCATCTTCTGCAGGGCCGGGGTCTGTTCGAGTGTCATACCTTTTGAAGCCCAGTAGGACAGGACTCGTAGTTCAAGGTCGTTCGATGGGGCCACCCAGGGCCGTGATCTGTGTTCCAAGTGCCCAGGCCTGGGGCCCCGCCTGTCCCCGGTCCCAGAGGGTCCGCTTCTCCTACCAGTAGGCCCCTGAGTAACCAGCTGGTGTTGATGTCACGATGCACGTCCCCGGAACCGGTCAGAAGAGTCCGCAGCTCAGTCTGGGCGTGTGGGCGGGGGAGCGACTCCCACAGGCGCCGCGGGCCTCTGGGTGCCGGCCGATCCGTCCGCACGGAACTTCGGGCTCCAGTCACACAGATGAATTGTAGACGTCTTGGGGCCAAGCTGCATCACGGACCACACGCTCAGCCACATTGTGCTCGTGGCTTTTACTTTGCCGGCAGGGTCAGGAAACCGATGATGCATTTGAGGTTTCTGCATAAAATTCATAACCCAGCCCCGGCTGCTGTGGCTCAGTGCACTGAGCACCAGCCTGTGAACCAAAGGGTCGTTGGTTCGATTCCCAGTCAGGGCACATGCCTGGGTTGTGGGCCAGGTCCCCAGTAGGGGGCGCACGAGAGGCAACCACACACTGATGTTTCTCTTCCTCTCTTTCTTCCCGTCCTCTCTCTAAAAAGAAATCTTTTTAAAAAAATAAATAAAATTCATGATCCGAGCAGAACTGTGCTTGACCGAATCACCACATTCTAGCCGCACACAGTGAGTCCGGCCACCTCTGTCCCCGGCCGGTTTGCCGTGACAACGGGTGAGGGAGGGCCTGCGCCTTCCACGTTCATTTCTGTTCTCGTGAACCTGAGTTTGAGGCCCCGCGGACAAGGGGGGGAGGGAGGCCTCAGGACTGTTTCAGTACCTTCAATTCTCCTTAGTTTACTCAATTATGTCGCTAATTCTGCCATTCTTCAGGAAGGTATCCGTCGTTTGACTGTCTTCTCAATTATGGACAGTTCGTTATAGTTTTCTATTATTTTTAAGTGGGTTTTTGGGAAGATTTGATTATTTACTCATTTTCAGAGAGAGGGGAAGTGTGAGAGAAAGAGAGGAACAGGAACATCAGTCTCTCATATGGACCCCCGACTGGGGACTGAAGCCACGACCCAGGTGCGTGCCCTGACCGAGAATCGAACCGGCGACCTTTCATTTTGAAGCCCAACCCACTGACCCACACTGGTCAGAGCAAGTGGCTGTCATTCTGCAATTATTTTATCGCCTTGATCTGTTACATTTAGTTGATGAAGTGTTTCTCTTTGTCTCTTGAAATTTTTGCCTTTAATTACATTTTACTTCATATCCTGGTCTTCTTCTAATTCATACTTTCCCAGGATAATGAGATTTCCCAAAACTTCTTTCATTTAAAAAAAAATCTTTTATGTTGACTGTCTTCTGTGGACAAAATATCACTGAATGTAATTTCCTTCCAACCTCAGACCCTCTCTGGGGTGAGCTGGGCCTGCTCACAGCTGCTATAATTTGTCCTGCTGAAAGTCATCTGCCACTGAGGCCCCCTCGGGGGTGCGCTGAGGGGCTTCAGGAAGCCCCCAGAAGGTCTGTGAGGACTCGGGGTGGGGGTGTAGCCCCAGGAAGTGGCCTCACAGGACAGCCAGATCTGCTGGTAACTTACCACAGGCTTCCGGTGTTTTATCTCTCACATATTTAAAACACCTCAATTGTTGTAACGAAACACACGCATCTCCCTTCTGCCCCCACGAACCCCCCTCATTTCCTGAGGTATCCATCGATATGAGCGACTCCTTTGTCAAGGAAAAACCGTAAACGTCACTGCCTCAGGGACGGGTCCGTCCTTTCTATTTCCAAACATGTACATTTTCCTTTCTCAAATGTAATTATCTGGTGACGTGGTCACAAATAGTGGGTGGAGGATTTCCCTTTTGATGACAAAATGAAAAGCACCCTTACGAAAAAGGTCATAGACCAAAATATACACAGTCTTGTCTTCTGTTTGGTGATTAAATATGCTCCCCTGTGCTTTTGTGTGTTTTTTGAAATGGGATTATTTCTGAAACAAAAAAGAAAAACGAGTTATTCGGGGGAGAAACATTCATTACTGACTGCTGGGAGTCTAGACCTGGAACCAGCGTAGTAGGTCCAGCGTCAGGGACAGGGACCGGGACCAGGCCAGCCCCAGGGTCCCTGTCCTCTCTTTGCCGCCTGGGACAGCCTGTGTCCCCGACATCCGACACTCGCCGTGAACTTCCATTTACCCAGAACCTACAAATACTGCCCGGCACCAGCACCTTCCATCCCCAATTGCTACAAAATGTAACCACCTCTTCCCAGCATGAAACACACTAGACACAAAACAGGCAGCACAAGTCCAGCTCCTGCCCCAGGAAACCGGGTCTGGCTGAGCCCCGCCCTTCCTGACCTCTGCTCACATTCAACCTCACTGTCAGGGTGGATCTGGAAGAGGCCATTTTTCCCCCAAAAAAGATGGTTTGCCTCTCAGTTCTCCACAGTTGGAAGGGCCTCCTGACATCCAAACTGCCCAAGACAAGCTGGAATGAGGGGGCTCCCCACTCTTTTTCCTTTTTTGTTGTTGTTCAAAACGGGTCTCTGCTAAATGACCACTCAGAGGACACAGACCATGACGCCCACATCGGTGAGAATGAGCCTCCGGCGCCCCCCACCCTGCGGAACTGCAGGGGCTGCCGCTCAATCACAGCGACCCTGCTTCCTTTCTCTTTAAACCACCTCGCTGTTGTGGAACCTGGAGTGCACAAAAGTCAGGCCACCTAGAGTGGAAGGAGCCAGAACTGCCCTCAAGGCCCCAGCAACCACAAAAGCCCCAGAATAAACGGAGACGATTTCCTGCTACCTCCGGTCCTGTACAGAATGGCGCTGTCGGTCGCCACCCGGGCCCCAGAAATCGGCGGACGCCAGCAAGAGGAGGCCCTCAAAGGACGCAAACGAAGCCAAATGAGAGAAAAACACTTAAAATATTCCACAGTCACAACAGAGACCGAAAAGATCCCTTTGCTTTATCCTCGGGAAATTGAGAAAAACTGCACTTCACCCATGTGTATTTTCAAACATGCAGTTTGAAGATGGTCATGAATAATAAGCCTTTTGCCTGCTAGTATCTTTACTTCACGCTCACTTTAGACGACATTGAGCCGAACACAAAATACAGGTTTACGGTTCTTTCCTCGCAGCAAAACTGTCGGGCCACCGTTCCTTTCTATCATGTGGGGATGGCTGTGACATTTTTTCTGGAACCTGTCGTCCACCTAGAAAAGTTCCCTTCTCTTCTAGACCCTGCCCCGGCAGCGAGTCCTGGTGCAGAGGGGCAGGTTCTTTGACTTGTTCTTCCAGGATGTGGTACATGTGGAATGATCCCAGGAAAACCACAGCCTCCCTCAAACGGAGAGCGCACCTGATCAACAAATCACAAAAAAAGCTTTTGCAGAAATTAGTTCCCCCAAACGACAATGCCTCCGTCCAGCCACACGAGGTCAGACAACCACTAAGCGAGCCAGTGAGCACAGAGCTCACGTTCAGCCCAGCGAGGCGGGGCCCACAGAGGGGGGGTGCTCACGCCGTGCGGGGGCGGGGAGGGGCTCCACGGGGACTCCGGGCCAGCGACAGGGGCACAGACGTGGGCCTGCGCTGCTCTCAGGCCAGTTCCCACCACTTGCAGAGCAGATTCACCTTGAAACCCTTGGGAGCCGATGTCTTCAAGGGGCCTCGGGGTCCCCTGGGCCCTGTACAGGTGGGTGACTGTGGACAAGGTGTTGGAACTGCCTGGGCCTCGCTCGGTCTCGTCTAGAAAATGTGGGTGGAGCTCCGAGTGCAGAGGGCTGGCCGTTGGTGGGGATGTGGGCCAGGCCGTCCTGCTGGTCCCTCTGCTCAGGGCTCCCAGTGCCCACGCCACGTGACACTGCCCTCGGTCCTGGAATTCTCTGGCTGGTGTGACAGGGGAGCACTGACCTCCACGTCGAAAACACAAGCCTCCAGGTTCTGCCTCTGATCTGTTGTACGGCGACCTGCTCAGTCCTCCTCCCAGCCTCGGTTTACCCATCTACGAAATGGCGCCCACATAGCTACCCCCCCGAGAATGGTCTAACCCGCGCACCCACGCACAGGTTATCGAGGAAAGCAAATGGGCCGGCACGCGCACCGATTGGCACGGGGATGTGGAGGAGCTTTAAAACACAGCGATGAAGCACCAACTGGCAGCAGGGCCAAATGGGGGAAGGTTGGGTATTAAGAACTGGGACTCAGAGCAGCTGGAGATGCAGCGGCCGGAGGGGTGGGTGCCAGGCAGAGACGCGTGGCCCCTCTCTGTGAGGCTGCAGGCTGGTGGCCGCTTCTGCCAGCTGCGAGGCGAGGTGCCCTGCACAGAGGTCAGAGCCGCGAAGGCTCAGGCTGGACGGAGAGGAGGGCACACAGCCCACCAACCATTTCCCACTTTGCAGACGGCCTCCCTGCTGCCTCCCCAGATCGACCCTCTGGCGCAGGGACCGGGGAAGGGGTGGGCGGCGTGGGGGCCACAGGAGGCCCAGGAAGGGTGCAGCCCAGTCCACACTGTTCGGCACACGTGTTCCTGCACAAACACGAAATCGCCCGGACGGAAGTACAGGCTCGGAGTTCCACTCACAGTGCATCATCACCAAGCTCCTGTGACGTGCCAGGTAGGCTGTTGGGGACCGAAGAGTGACACACGGAGGTGACGTGGTTGCCCCCTCAAGGAGCTCAGAGACTCGTGGGACAGAGCCCCAGAGGCGGCAGCTCCCCGCATCAGGCGGCAGGTGCCCTGGCTGGATGGGCAGGGCGCTCCGGGAGCAGACAGGCCGGGGGGCTGAGTCGGGGCCTGGGAGACACACAGACGGTCCTGCCATGGCGGGGGAGACAGGCAGAGGGGACGGGGCCGGGGGACGGTGATCGGGGGCACTGGCGAGGTCCCAAGGTGCCTATCTGAAGGGGACCGAGGTGTCCCTGTCCTGCGTACAGTGTTTCCTGTATCTTCTTCAATAAATGCCTCTCCTTTTTCACAGCTCAGGGCTGGACGCCCTCGGGGCAGCGCTCGCAGAGGGCGGAGCACCCTCCGCCACAGAAGTGAGGAAGCCACGCCGCCGTCTGTGACCGACAGCCTGCGGGGTGGGGACTCGAGAACATCACGCCCGGTGGGACACCTCCGGTGACCACGGAAACGGAACGACCCCACGTGCGCGTGGGACACAGAACTGACAGCTGCTCGTGGCCCGACTCTCAGACCCCGACGTGGTCCCCTCGGGGAGGAGGCCAAGTGCAGGGCCACAGCGGAGCCTCAGGGTCACGGGGGCGGGGGCGGGACAGCAGCAGACTGACACCATGTTACCGCCTCAGCCCTGAAGTTCCTGACCCTGCCATCAACCAAATGTCACGGATAAATTCAACCTGAAGAGTCGCTGGGCCAGAGGACGCTCAGGCCACCGGCTCCCTCCCTGGCCCCGGGGTCTCACCTGCACATGGGGGTCCAAGCGCCTCCCCCGAGGCGGCGGGTCCACGGGAAGAAGACACCTCCCTGCGGCTGGTCTCGGGCGGGGCTGCCTCCAGGCCCGAGGCTGGGGGTCTCTCCTGACCGTGCCCTTGCCAGACCCACACTCTCGGGGACACGTCAGGTTCAGAAAACTGACCACACCCACCTGCCAAGAGAAAGACCAGGCCAGCGAGACCAAAAGGATCATTTATTGTGCTGTCTTCTATCCCAAAACTACTGAAAATATAAATACAAAATCTCTAGAAAACTTTCAGGACAGCTCTGCCCGGACGAGGCAACGCCTGTCCTTCCACAGCCGACGGTGACAGGTGTGACCAAGTGACATCAGCCCACATGGGAGGGTGACCTGCCAGGAAGGGCTGGGCCATCTGCCCCCCACCAGCAGGTCTGGGAGTGTGGGGGTGGGGAGAAGAGACAGCGCCCCGACTTCCCCTCGGGGACAGAGTCACCCACAGGCCCCACGGCTGCTGCCCCAGGGCGGTCAGACTGGGGGTGGACATGGGACGTGGACGGGGCCTGGGGCAGAGCGGCCCTGAGGGACGCGGGTCCTTGGATGAGTGACCTGGCCGAGAGGGGCCACAGGGGCTGGTGGGGAGATGACGCAGATGTCACTGTGGATGGACACCCAACAGGGAGCAGAAATGGGGCCGCAGGGGACAAGCCCCAGACAGGCCACCTGCTCAAGGGCAGGGACACTCTCTTCAAGCTGGAAAGGCCCCAGGTGGGGCCGCCCCTGACGGGGTCTTCTGGCCACAGGAGGACAGAGCACAGGACCCCTGGGGGCACTGGAGCAGCACAGTCACGGATGGGGGGGGATGAGCCACGTCAGCCCCTCACCACACTCCCAGAAGCAGGAGTGGGGACCCTGTGGCTCCAGGACCAGAAAGGCAGGCGGGGGGCCCCTGGAGAGCCCCGGGGCCGCGAGGCCGTGCCAGCACCAGGGCCGAGACTGGCTGCCGAGCCCAGGCAGTGCAATGCACTGTGACCATGTGTGTCCCCACCTCTGTCTGCCCCAGGCCACTCATGCCTGCTCAGACCCCAGAACGCATCGCCTCGGGCAGTGGGCAGCCCTGGACAGCGTCCAGTCCTCCCCGGGCTCTCTGGGGACCGGGCTCCAAACGCCAATTCCTGGGCTCCCCCAAACCAGATCAGGATGGGTGCTGCTGCTTCACACCGGGGAGCCAGGGTGGAGCTGGTGGCATTGTCCAGGGCCCCTCCAGGGGACACAGTGAGGACCTGGCCCGCACGCTGCCTCAGGCCCGGTAAGCGCAATCACGGGGACGCTGGTGGGCTGAGGTCAGGGCCGGCTCTTGGGTCGGGGCCCCTCATCAAGCCAACCCCGTCATTCCTGACCCTGCCTGACCCTGAGGCCAGAGGAGGGCGGGGCCGTGGCAGGGCCCAGAGCAGGCCCCCGTGGGACAGACGGGGAGACTGCCCACTGCCCGGGCCGGCCTGGGCGGGGCGCAGAGGGAGGAGCTGGGCTCTACTCGAAAGAGAGCAGGTCGGGGTGCGGCCCCTCTGTGTCCAGGCTGCAGGTCCGCGCCCCAGCACGGGGGCTGCCGTCCTGTCGCTCGGCCAGGCCCAGGGGGCTCGGGCTGGGCAGGAGGCTGCTGTTCTCGCGGGGGCCCGGGGGTGAGGGCCCCCTGCACTCACTGGCCTTCAGCTTGGCCTCGTCCTGGGCGTCCTGGTGGATCAGGTCAGGCACCGACAGGGGCGCCTCGCCGTTGGGCACGGCCACTTCCAGGGCCGTCTCTGGCTGGGCAGTGTCCCCTGGGGCGTGCTGGGCACTGGGAGGAGGGTCCTGCGGCTGCCCCGGGGACAGCTCCGCCCCACACTCCAGGCTGCTCAGGACGGGCTGTGAGGAGATCAGCATGTCCTGCGTGGTCTTCAGGGCCCGGGGCGTTCGCTTCCGGGTGGTGGGAGGCGGAGGCTCCAGCCGCGGGAAGGCGCCTGGCCCGGCCGGCCTGCAAGGACGACAACGACACACGGTGAAGGCAGCCGTCCCTGCCGAGCGCTCGCCGCCCGGCCTCGCCTGCTCTCACTCCAGGGCAGCGTGTGCCTCGGCGGCTGAGGCCTGGTGGCTTTGGCGGTGGCGCGCTTGCTCGGAGGTCAGGGCGGCTCCACGAGCGACACGGTGCTGGGGGTGGGGCAGGGGAAGGAGCTGCACTCACCCGTCGTCCTCCCCATCGGCCACACCCGCCAGCTGGGCCTCCGCCGTCCGGTTAACCTCCATGGCGCCCACGCTGCCCAGGCCCCAGGGCTCCCTCCTGCGCAGCAGGTCGTTCACCTTGGCACCCATGGCTCTGCCCAGGTTCCTGAGGTGCTGGCTGCTGCCCACCCACAGGGCTGGCCCGCCGGGCTCCACGGACCCTGGGGCCGGGGCCGAGGGGGCCCCCGACCGGGACAAGTGGGGCACAGAGCGGCTGGACTGCAGCTTCGGCGTGAGCGAGGCGTTCAGATTCTCGAACATGCTGTGGTCCACTGCGACAGAGACAGAGGGGCGGCTGAGTGGAGAGGGCTGCGGGCCACAGGCTACAGTCTGCGTGCCCACCCCTTCCCCACCCCACGCCCAGCACCTGCACCTGCCCTGCGGTTTGCAAACATCCAAAGAGCCAGCGAGACACCCTGACGCTTCCTGGAGGGAGGGCGGGGCTGGAGGCTCCGGCTGCCCCGCCCAAGCCAGCCCCGCCCTCCCGGCTGCCCCCTAAACTCTCACCGTCCCCTGCCCGTGGGGCACCAGCCCCGTGGGGCACAGAGAACACGAGGTCAACGCAACGGGACGGTGTTTCTGCGCTGCCGTGAGCACGAGTGAGCAGTGGGCCGCGGGCCCGGGACGGCGCAGTGCGGTGTGGCTCCTGTGAGGCCAGCACCGGCCCCTTCCTTCCCCACCGAAAGCCTCGTGTCCAGGGAAGACAGGCGGCAGCTGCGACCCCTGGGGTGGAGCTGGGGACAGGCACCCATGGGGCAGGAGCGGGACCAGCACCGGCTCACTGAGCCCTTGCCTGGCCCCGGGACTGCCTGAGCTGGCCGGTCCGCCTGGCAGCCCCTCTCTGGCTGGAACGGTTCCCTCCAAGGGCTGGTGCGGGCCCACTGGGCTGTAAACATTTGCAGAGCAGGGGCTGTGTCTCATTCATCTCTATCTTCAGCAGCCTGCCTGGGTCAGTCTTGCACACAGTAGGTGCTCAATAAATATCTTGAATCAAATTCTGAACTTGTGCAAATGGACAAGTGTGGAGGCCAAGGCTGTGGCTGGGGTTCCTCGTGGGAGCGGCTGGAGCTCCAGGCTCCACACTGGCCGGCCACACTCGCCCGCAAGTCCACTCAGTCCCCCACACAGACAGGCCCGCCCAGGGCCCTGGGAGCAGCCTGGGGCCTCTGTCCTGACAAGCGTCCCTGGGCGCTGTCAGTCTGGGCAGGTTGCAGGCTGCTGTCCTGGCTGGGCGTCCCCAGAGAACCTGCGGTCGGGGCTCACGGTTGCTCTGCTGACCTTGGACAGGAAGCAGCCCCTGCCCCGTGCTGCCGAGTCCAGGGCCCGGGAGCCCTCTGAGCAGAGAAATCCCTCCTGAGCCCACGACCGAGGAAGCCATATTCTGAGAGACTCCGGGCAGCAGGAGGTGGGGTGGAGGCCGCCCCCCATGGTGGGCCCCGCAGTGGGACCCCTGCGCAGGGAACCTCCCCGCCGTGGGATGGGCAGGGACCTGAGGAGGGTGTCCCTGGCACGTGGGTGCGGAACCTGTGAGTGTGGGCTGCAGACCCGGCCCACGGGCAGAGGCCCCCAGCCCGCCCCAAACGGAGCCATCAACTCCCGGCTCTTCTCCAGGTGGGCGGCTTGCGTTCTCTTTTGCGTGCGTTGCCTCCACACCCCTCGTCCTTGTCGTGTTCCTGTACCCGTGAAACCTGCGCACTCGCTGTGGAGCCCCTGGACGCGAGGCCTGGCCCCGTTGCCCTGCAGTGGGGGTGTTTGGAGTCGGACACCAGAGTGGACAGGCCCCCACTGCATTCAGACGGTCCCCGGCCGCTCCCTGGTGCTCACGGCAAACGTTCAGAGCAAAACGCTCAACAGCGCCTGCCCGAGGGACTTGCCGAGTGTGAGCCTCTGTGCTCGCCCTGTTAGAGACCATGTCTGATAAGTGTGAGTGACCTTTGCACTGAGCACATCTGTGCTGGGCTCTCAAGGAGCTCAGAGGCAGCCTGCGGCCGCTCTCTTCGGCACGCTGCGGTCATCCTGGGACGCCGCCGTGTGTCTGCGGTAACACGGGCGCCCTCCAGGACGCGGCCACGCAGGCCCTCATTTTCCGTGGCCCTCACCAGAGGCCTGGGCGGTGGGCACAGGATGAGCTGGCCTAACAGAGCGGCGTGCTGATGCGAACAGTTTAAAACCGACCGCGCCACAGGCTGGCCGTGCAGAGGAGCTGGTCCCGAGCCTCTTCCACCTACAAAAGCCACCCAGCCAGCCGCCCACCTGTCCCCCACCCCAGAAACTGGTCCACAGGGGCTCCCGGGGCCAGGCTGAAAGAAGTCACCCTCCTCCCTAACCGGGGCTCCTTCACCCCCACCTCCCAGGCAGAAGCAATGGGCCCCGTCCTTGCTGGTGGCACGCTGTCCCCCCTTCCCCAGGACCAGGGGCTTCGGGCTCGGAGGACAAGGGCGAGAGGGACCCCCACATGCACAAGCCCCCATGAGAAGGACGGTGTCTTACCTGAGCGACCGAGAAAGGGCTCGGACAGCAGGCGGAAGCAAACGAGAGAGACAGTTTATGTGGCAGCTGAGCCCCTGGACAGCCCCCCGCGAGCACAGGGACCCGCCGTGCGCACAGACCCCAGACGGCCAGGTCCCGCCAACGCCAACCACCGAACAGAGCGGAGACGCGCCCTGATGACCCCCCAACAGACCACCGGCCTCCAGGCCAGGAGGGCGCGTCTGTGCCGACTGCCCGGAGGAAGCGGTGGGCCACCAAGGGGCTCGGGGCTGCCCGGCACCGCCCAGGGGCTCAGGGTGGACTGGGGACCACGACTCAGCCGCACTGAGGCGCCTGGAGCCCCTTCCTGTCCCTGCCGGAACCCGGGCTCCCCACGAGGCTCCCTGCCCAGCCGGCGTCGGGCCCGAGCTCAGACGTGGGCAGGACGGAACCTCGGGGTCGCCACAGAGGCTCATGCCCCCCAGGCCCCCCACTGCCCCCCGCGTGGGCCAGCATCCGCGGCACACACCTGTCCCCTCAGAGAGTGAGGCGTGGTCGACGCCACAGTCTCCCTGTCGTGACAGTCCAGCACAGGCATCCCCGCTGACGGGAGGCACTGTGACCACGCACCCACCTCGCCATGCGCTTGCGGGCCAGGCCATGACAGGACCTGCGTGGGGCAGGGGACAGGTGGCCGCTCCGGGGTCCAGCCCCTCCTGGAGGCTGCTCAGGGCCCGCCTGGAGCCGGGCAAGGCGGTCATTGGTTCGTTGGCTGCAGACAGAGGGTGCCGACCACTGAAACGGACTCAGGACCCTCTTCCCAGAAAACCAGTGACCTTGGGGCCTAAGAGGGACCTTCTGTCGGCAAACAGCTCAGGAAAACTGGCACCACACCCGCACGGCGGGAGGGACGGGGACGGGGACGAAAACGCAGGGAAACAGGAGGGGCGACACCTGGGTACAGGGCCAACGTGTGCTTCACACTCACTTTACATCTGCAACTTTCTTATAAGCATGGAATTGTTTTCCAAGAACGTGTGGAAGGTGGAAAGTGTGCCCCAAACAACAAAGCACAGGCTGAGGCACACCATGAAGCCTCTCGCTGCAGCGAGGAAGGTGAGCGGGGCGGCTGACAGGTGGGCCCGAGGCGGGCGGAACTCGGGCCCCCTGTGATGTCGCCTGTGCTCAGAATGCGGTCGTCTGGACGACCCTGGCGCCTCCAGGAGCAGGCGAGTGTCCCCACGCCCCCGGCAGGGACAGCATGGAGCGCTTCTCGCTGCTCAGCATCTCGGCCCCCCGGGCCCCTTCCTCGGCTCTGACCGCCCTGCCTGGCCTCACGGCCCCACGTGCCACCAGCCTGCCAGGTGAGCTCTGGGGCCATGCGAGCGTGGGTCTGCTGACCGGTGGCTCTACGAGACCCGCCCCCGACCCGCCCACGGACACTCCCCGACACCCGTGGCCCCCCAGGGGACACCGACCATGTGAGCACAAACTAAGCGGGTCCTAGCCAGGGGCCGGAGACCGCCGGCTTCTCGTCTGAGCACCAGTGGCTGTGCGGGTGTGGCGGCAGCTAGGGCCCCGGACCCCAGCTGCCAGGGGCGGGAGAGGCTGCAGTCGGGGAAACGGCTCCCAGTCCTCGAAGGGGCCACATCAGAGCCGCCAGGCCCACGGCCAGGCCCTGCAGCTTCGGGTCTGCAGGCATGAATGGGGTGGGGCCGAGGCACCCAAGGCCCGCTCAGCACCCAGAACATCTCATCTGCCCCCAGATGTCGCCAAACCTGCGTCCCCCACGGAGGCGCCCGGCCCAGCGTGGGCCCCGCCGACGCCACACGTGAGCAGTGCTCTCCGGCACGGGGTGGTGCTCTCGCCAGGTGAGCCCTCCTGTCGGGCACGGCCTGCCCCCTCCGCCCCCGCCCGGCCCCCCGCAGAGACCACAGGCTGTGCCGACCTCCTGTCCCGACTCCCAGGCTGACAGGGACCGGCTTCCACCTGGCGGGCCGGGGATGATGGCCACATCCCCAGTGGCAGAAGGGGCCTCAGCTCGCTGCCCCCGCCTGTCCTCAGAGGGCGCCGGCCGTGGACACCAGGGCACAGTCCTGGGGAGGCCCTACCAGGGGTCACACGGGCGTTAGTGGCAAGAGGACGGGAGGCCGCAGGAACGGGCCCTGGACGCTCCCCGCCCTCAGAACCCGAGGCCCCTGCCGGCCGACGCTCAGGCCGCCCTTTCCTCCGCAGACTGCGTGCTCGGGGAGCCCCCGGACGCGGCGCGGCCCCGGCGGAGCTGCACCATCTACCGGCCCTGGTTCTCCCCGTACAGCTACTTCGTGTGCCTGGACAGGGAGAGCCACCCCGAGGCCCAGGGCCTCCCGGAGCTGCCTCGGGAGGAGGGCCGGGGGGACGGCCGCCTGCCCGAGGACGCGGCCGACAGCGCCTGCTCCTCCGCGTCCTCCCCAGACATCGCCTGCCCCCGGGAGGCCCCCACGAGCCCCCGGCCCGGCCGGGACGCCTCGGACCACATCACGTCCCAGGACCTCCTGAGGGCCTCCCGGGGGCTGCCGGCCCAGCAGAGCGGCTTCAAGTGCGCAGCCTGCTGCCGCATGTACCCCAGCCTGGGCTCTCTCCGCAGCCACGTCAGGGGCGGCTTCAGGGAGGGCTTCAGCTGCCGCGTCTTCTACCGCAAGCTCAAGGCCCTCTGGGCCCGGCCCGCCGACAGGCTGTGCTCGGCCTTCGGGGGCGGCCAGGCCCCAAAGTAGCCCCGGGACCAGGCCAGCGGGGACCGGGCCTGCGTGTCTCCAGGGAGAGGCCAATAAACCGGTTGCCACAGCTCTGTCAAGTCTGAGTCACCCTGGGCTGCCGGCCGTGGGTCCCTGTCCCCATCCCTGCCCCCCCCCCCCCCCCCCCCGTCGCTCCCTGTTGCCTGGCAACCCCAGGCCCACATCCAGGCCTGCCTGTCCGCTTTCCTCCCCCTTTCTCCCCCATCCACAGCACCAGCGGGTTGGTGGGGTACACTGGGAGGGTAGTGAGTTCTCAGCGGGAGGAGCCCAGACTGGCACTGTCGGCTCCGGGGGACCCTGTGGAAGGAGACTCAGGTCTGCAGGGCACCCCGATGCTGCCGTGGGTGAGACCCGTCACCCTCTGGCTGGCCCCCGAGAGCAGTTCTCGACCGCCCCACGGGGGTGCTCCCCAAGGGGACGAGGGTAGAGACCCCTTCCCGTCGGCACAGGGTTTCCACCGCACGACAGAACCTCACCACCGTCTGAAGGCTCCCGGACATGGGCGGGGGGATGGGACAGGGTGGGTGACGTGCCCAACACAAGAGGCTGCAGGGAGGTCACAGGGCCGGGTCACTGCGCACTGCACGCCGAAGGGCAGCGCCGGCTGAGGCGGAACACACTAGGGCACCTTTGCACGGCCGTGTGCGGTCACCACTGGCAGTGAGCGTTTGAAAACCCTGCTTCCGGTCCCTAAGCAACGTCCCTAGAGGCCTGGGCCCCCGAGTCCCAGGCGGAACCAGCCCTCGGCCTTCACAACAACCGACCGTGCCGGCCAACCTCTCGGGTTCCCCCACCCGCTGACGCTCCGGCCTCCGCCTGCACGTCCCGCATGCCCCTCCTGCTGCTGAGCCCCTCGGCCCCCACGCCAGGGTCCTCCCGGCCGCGGGAGCAGCCCGCCCGGGTTCAGCTCTGATGTTTCCAGGCCAGGCCCACTCAGCCTGAGCAGCCTCCCCCCGGAGACAGCTCATCAGGGACGCCGAGGGGTTGTCACCTGGTGACCTCGGTGACTACCCCGAAGACACAGCCATGATGTCATGTTTTCCAAGCACTCAAACTGGCCACCGTCACCCACCCCAGCGCTGCCTGGAGCCGTGTTGACAGCATCTCACCCTCAAGCAGCGGAGTGTCTCCCCAGCACCCGCCCACCCTGCCGACATCCCCTTCATCGTGAACTGTCCTCGCGAGGACACACGGGGCAGCTGTCCCCCGATGGGCACCAGGCTGCTCCAAGGACGCCCCACTCGCCTTCGAGAGACACCGCCGCCTGGAGAGCACGTCCCAGGACCAAAGGTGCAGGACCCAGGACCCGGCTCGGACAGTGGGCGACAGTGAGGAGGAAGAGGAAGAAGAGCAGATAGAAAGGAAGAAGCAAGAGAGACAACAGGAAAGCTTCAGAAATGAGGAAGGTTTATTAGCAAAAGCCACAGGTGTCAGCGTTGAGGGTAAGTGCACTTTAAGGACACAAGCTTTTCCCAGACAGCAGGTCCCACAGCGCCCACCGCGCGGCTGCAGAGAGCCAGGCCGCAGGGACAGGGGACGCAGCCCCGGCCCAGGAGCAGCGGAAGGAGCCTGCAGCTCGGGGCTGCGTGGAGGCACCGCAGGGAGGTGCTGTCCGTCTGTCCACACTGCGGGCCCGGTGGGCCGGCTTCAGTGTCCACGTGTCCTCCACACAGGGCAGGGCAGAGGGTGAGGAGTGGGGAGGTGGAGGGCGGGGCTCAGTTAGCCAAGCGAGAAGGCGGGAGGACTGGTCACAAGGCCCCCAGATCTGTCCTGAGTCCGGGATCCGCCCAGCGTGCGCTGGTCAGGGCCCCCTAGGGCGAGGTTGGGGCCTGCTAGGCATCTGGAGGCCCCGGGCACTCGGAGGGCCAGGTGTGGGTGGGTTAAGTCGGGGGCTCGGGGATCAGCGTCCCCAAAGCTGTCACCGCTCCTCCACTGCCTCCTCTGTCCCCTTCCACCTCCTAGAAGGACTGTCCCCCACCATTTCACCCAACGCCTCACATCACCATCAACCCACTGGCCTCAGGTGGGGGCCTCAGACCCAGACCTTCCGGTCCCCGAACTCCCAACTCTGGGGCCTCAGGGGGTCCCCTTGAGGAGCCCTGTGTGGGCCCACCCGTCAGCCAAGCCCAGGCCTGACGGCTGTCCTTCAGCTTCCTGAGCCCCACATTCCCGCTCCTCTTCTCCCTGTGCACCCGCACCCGCCACCAACGCTCAATCAGGAAGCACGACCTGCAGAACCAGCCCCTCCGACCAGAGGCACCTGAGGGAAAACGCATCTACCGGTGATCCACACGCCCAGACACCCACCGTGCCTTCCTGTCTGCCACTCACAACTGACACACATCCCCCTCTCTCACACCCACAGCACGCACACACACGCACACACCACCTGACACCAGGCACCACGCACTAGCACACAGCTGTGTCCTCTGCTCTCACTCACACCGTCCAGCTATGTCGGGGCTGAGGGCCCCTGTCCTGGAAACCCACCTCGCTGACCCACCCTCAGGTCCTACCACACACAGGAGCTTGTCCTCAGGGCCCAGCTGCCCAGTGTCCAGTGGTGAGGGCCAGGTGGCCAGGTGAGAGGACTGCCCATGTGCGCTCCGGCATGGCCCAGAGACGAGTCAGGACATGTGGCTGCGGCCCCGACCGAGGTTGCAGGGACTTTGAACCGTGGACACAGTAATGTCAGCTACCAGCCCGGGCCTGGTTTTTGCAGCAAGAACTGACCCCGCTGCCCAGCAGAGGGGACCCACCAGGAAGTGGGGCTGGGGCTCGGGGGCTTTCCCAGAGGTCAGGTGCAACAAAAGCTCCACGGGGACTTCCTGGGGGTGGGGGACAGAGGGGACGGGAGGAACAGCCTCCCTCCCTCCACAGGGACAACGGAGCTTGCAGGTAGGCGGGAGCTGGGCAGGGCAAGAGTCGGAACTGAGTCATGTGGCAGCAGAGGCTGCCCTCCCGGGGCAGGCCCGTCTCCCTGTGACGCACCCTCGCGCTGGACACGGGGACCATCGCTTGGGTGCAGGCCCCTGACGCGGACCCATGGCACACTCCCATGGAAGGACCATCCTTCCCGCTGGGACCCAGAGCGTTCGGCCCCCACACGGCTGCAGGGTGGGAGGGGCCTTGTCCTGTGAGGCCACGTCCGGGGGTCCAGACACAAGGCACCAGAGGAGGCAGGCAGCCCCCTTCCTGGCCGGACCACGCAGCAGGGACTGCGGAGGGCCGTCCTCCGGACCCTGTGCCAAAGTCGCGGGCTCTGCGAGGCCCGGCCGCCCCTCCCGAGGTCAAGGAGGGAGAGGGAAGTGGGTCCCTCGGGCACTGGTGTCTTCCTCGTCACCCTCAGAAGCAAAGCAAAGCCTCACCCTTCGCTGCAACCGCGAACCCCTGGCAGGGCCGGCCTGCGCCCCTGAGCCGCCACGCAGCCCTGCGCCCAGGCCTACACCGCGACCTCGTCATCCAAGGTGTCACCCGGCTCCTGGAGCCGCCGCACGTGCAGCAGGCGGGGCGGCTCCTCCTCGCTCTCGTCCGTGGTGGACTCGCACTCCGAGGCGATGCCCGACTCCCGGAACCGCAGCAGCTCCAGGCCGCCCAGCAGCGGCTGGCCCCGCGCCCCGGCGGGGAAGCGGAAACACTCCAGCTTCACCAAGCAGTCAGGCCTACCTAGTGGGCTGCCCGCCGGTGGGGCCAGGTCGGCCAGGCCACCGCCCAGGGGCGGTGAGGGCAGGTCCTCGGGCTTGGGGGTCGTGGGGTCACAGAGCACAGGCAGGGCTCCGGAGCGGAAGGTGATCTCCAGCAGGCTGTCCTGGGATCCCACTGTGGGGACAGGAGAGGAAGAGCGGGTCAGCGCTTGGTCAGCGGGGAGGCCGCCCCCCAACCCCGTGCCCAGAGAGCACCAACAGGAAAGGGGGAAAAGCCTAGAGGGGGACAGGACAGTGTCCTCGGGAGGCCGAGCCTCAGCACGGGGCCGGGGACGCCTGACGGCAACATCCCAGGCCCCGGCCGCGACCTGAAAGGCAGCACAACCGGCTCTGGGCCTGTCCGCCGCCTGCAGAGGGAGGGCGGGCGCGCACAGCTGCCTCTGGGCCCTGTGGGAGCACCAGGCGGGCCAGCAGAGCCCAAGGCCCGGGTGAGAGAGCACCGGCGTCGGGTGGGCAGGCCTGGCTTACTGGCGTTCTGTCCTGACAGCTTCAGCTCCAGCTCCTGCACCTGCCGGACCAGCAGGGACACGTGCTGCAGGGCGTCCTTGTTCTGCAGCAGGAGCTGGTGCACTCGGGCCTGGGCCTCCAGCCGGGCCGCCGCCTCCGCCGCCAGCTGGTCCTTCAGCAAGTGCACCTGCGGGCGGGAGGTGCAGAGAAGAGGGGCCGAGAGGAGAGGGGACGGAGAGAAGAAGGGCTGTGAGTGAGAACGTGGTCCTGGTGGCAGCTGGGACCACAGGGGACTCCACGCTCAGTCCCGGACAAACGGGCACCTGGGCTTGTCATGCAGCCGGTACCAGGGCCCAACTGAGACCTCCCACTCCCAGCAGTCACGCCCACCCTCCCCCGCACCCAGACCGCTGCGCGACGGGGAGCCTGTCGCCCTCCTGTGTGAGGAGCCGTGGCCAGGCCTGACGTCGGGTCTGCGGAGTCAGCCTCGTCCCAGCCACCTGCCCCTTCCATCGCCACAGACCCAGGGCCCTCGGTCTGCTCTGGGTGCCCGGGTGTGAGGGTAAGCTCAGGGGCGGGCAGGGACCGTGGCCTGGAGAAGTGGGGACACGGGCAGTAGCCACATTCACACAGGTGACCCTGTGCTTAGAAGGGGCATTAGGAGGTCTCTGTGGAGCATTCCAGAAGGTCCCTGAAGAAAGGTCCTTAGGAACGTGGTGGCCTGGACAAGGCAGCCGGCAGGGAAGGGGTTTTGCTGGACCGGCACCGTGGCTGGAGAAACGCCACAGCCAGGCACACAGGACAGGCAGGGGCAGGTGGGAAGAGCGGCTGGAAGAGCCGGCCGGTTCTCCCGCTCACACGGCAAAGGCCCTGGATTCTGAAGCGGGTGGTCTGCCCCAGGAAGACGCACGTCTCACCGCGAGTGAGAGGCGGCCGCCATCCCCTGCCCTGGCGAGGGCACCAGCACCTGCACAGGGCAGCGTCAGAGTCCCTCTGGACGGGGGCCGCCTCTCTCCCGCCAGATTTCAGACCTGACCTTGCAGTTGGCCTTGCTCCTAAGTGGTGCCACTAAGGGGCTTAGTGGCCACTTCCCAGTTGTGGCTCCTACAGGGGGGCCTCTCTGTCCTGGGAGGGGCAGGGGGAGGCCTAAGGACTCTGAAGCGAACCTGCTGTCCCCACGGCCTCAGCTGCCACCCATGTGAACTGGGGGAGACCCAGACAGGTGAGGAGGAGGGACAGACAGCTTGGGGGTGGGTGGCTGTTAAGGCTTTATCTTCCTTGGAAACTGAGGTGTGGAGATTTCTCACCTGAGAGCCCCCACACCTGCTGGTTCTGAGGAACAGGGCAGGGGCTGTGGGAAGCCCCCAGAACTGCCCCAGAGGAAGGTCAGGTGGGCGGAACCTCGACCTGCCAGTAACGTGTCACAACAGGAGGATGGCTGGAAGGGACCTCACGAGCAGGTGAAGGCTCTGGTCTCTTCACTGGGCAGGAATGTGGAACCAAACTTTCAGGGCTCATGAACTGAGCAGAGTTCCGCACACGGCTGCCCACAGCTGCGGGCCCCACGCACCCACGTTGGAGCACAGCAGCACAGGGTGCGGGGGAGCCGGCCCGCAGCGGGGCTCCCTCCCCATCTGCAGGCCATCCTTCTCCCCAGGCCACACTTCCTCATCTCCCAGCCCCGTAGCCTGACCAGTGCTCGTGGGGCTAGGACCCCATCCAGGTAGACAGAGCAGCCAGTACCTGGGTGAGGAGAAAAACCGGCTGCTCCTGGGGGTGAGGGCGTTCCCCCGGCGGACAGCCCACAGCCGGGGCAAGGAGCCCTGTGGCTCTGCACGGGGGGGACAGCGTCCCAGGAGCTCCCACGCCCCAGGGACATGGAAGCCCAGGCTGCCACGGTCTGGGACCAGCCGGGACGAGGCTCTGCCCCTGCCTGTCACACGTGGCTCCGGGTCTAGCCGCTGTGCAGCCCCTGCCAGGCCAAGTGGGCCCAGACGCACGGACCAGAGCGGCTGCCTCCCGTGGCACACTCGGGGCTCCAGGTCCGGGAGCTCGCCCCCACCCACGTCCCTCCCTGCAGACGGACGTCCCCACGTATTCAGCACACGCTCCGGTCAGAACGTCGAGCCCCCTGTCTCAAATGCATCAGCTTCTCCTTCCCAGAGCCACCAGGTGTCCGGTGACAACTACTCCGACACAGACTGCGGAGGTGGCTGTGCGGGCAGCGCAGCCCAGCCCTGCGTCTGGCCCCAGCTCTGCTCACACCCTCTGGCTTCCACCCTCAGCCCGTCCTGCGCCCTGACCCCGGCCTGCACCCTGACCCCATCCTGCGCCCTGACCCCGGCCTGCACCCTGACCCCGGCCCACTTGCCTGGATGCCAGCTCCTCCGATGGAAGTGGGGGCGGGGCCGGGCTGACACCAGGGCGCACAGAGGGGCGCGTGGGGATGGCAGGTGGCCCCCAGCCCGGATGCAGGTGCAGGCTGGCTCGTCAACATGCACGGGGTGGGGACCGGGCAGGGGGGCAGCCGTGGGGACAGGCGCTGACCGTAGGGCCTAGCCCGGGTGCAGACTGCTCTCAGCTCATTTCTCTTAAGTGCGGCACAGGCAACCCTGGCTTTGGGGACCACCCCTCAGTTCTGCTCAAGCTCGGGGCCACGGGGGTGGGGTTATCTGTAGACAATGAGGCTGAGCAGCACCAACACTTTTCTCTGGAACTCGTCGAGGGACCAGCAGCCTAAGGCAGGCAGCCGACCCCGCTACAGCTGGTCAGCGGGGCCCAGCCCATGGCCATGCAGACGCCCACACCCTCCGTCCAGCCCCGACCATCTCGTGCATCAAAAAGCAGGAGCTTGGCAGCCGGACAAGCCTCATGCTGGGTGGGGAGGTGGGCAGAGGGGCTTGTGCCCACTGCAGACACGTGGAGGCCTGAGGTGTGCACAGGTGGACACTGCTTCTGCCCAGCACTGTTCCAGCTGGGGCAGCTGCTTAGAACCAGCTCAGAACCAGCTTAGGGCAGGGGGACGGGAGAGGCCGAGGTCTGGGACCAAGTCGGGCCACCTGGGGGAGGTCTAAGGCCTGTGACAGGGGCGGAGCCAGACAGTCCTCAAGGTTAAAGCAGAGTGTGAATAACACAAAGGGCCCCAGGAGAACATGTCTGCAAGGAACCGTCTCTCCCTGGATGAGTGGGAGATCCCGGCATCCCCACCGTGGCACCAGGATGGTGGGTGCAATGGAGAGAGAGAGGGAGGGAGAGACCCTTCAGTTTGGTGGCGGCAGGGACCATCAGAGCGAGGACGACCTGCCTCATGAGGACCTCAAGCCAGATTCCATCTCCTTCAAATGTATGAAAAACACCCAGAAACCGAGCCCCCGCGGGTTAGGTGATAGTTTCCATCCGGAGACAGGGACCCTGACCAGGCCCTGGATGGGGGGTCGCCAGGAAGAAGAAAGGGGTGCAGGGAGACCTGCAGCAGGAGGTGGGTCAGGACCCAACCGCCAAGGGGACAGAGGGGAACACCCGGTGATGGGGACCAAGGAGACCTCAGCTGCCTTCCCCGCAGCAAAGGAGGACCCCACGACGGTGGCAGGAGACGGCTCAGGGGGCGGCAGGGAGGGCGCAGTGCGTGCCAGGGAGGCCCTGCCCAACCAGGGTGGAGAAGGGCGTCCTACCCAAAGCCACCACACAACATGGGGACAGATGTTCGCCTGGGGGGCTTCCAATCGTGTCACCACCTGACCGAGTCGGCCAGGGCAGCACCAACTCCCACGAATAGGTTTGCATCCCTCGGCAGGAGGGGACAAGGGGCAGGGGACTCAGCCACCCCCCTCTGTGAACCAGCGATGTCCCAACCGGCCTCTGCTTGGCCTCAGCCAAGTCTTCCCATGGCGGCTCAGACACTCCGGCGGAGCCCCTGGGGGTCGAGTGCCCCCTCCAGGGACCCCTGGGCCAGTCAGGTCTCAAACCCCACCTGGGACACCTACAGCGCTAATGGGAACCTGTGCGGGCGGCGGGGCGTGGGGAAGGGCTCCGCAAGGGCGGGTGGCACTCATTCACTAAGCCCCTCGAAGGCGGGTCTCACAGTCCCAGCTGCCCGACTGCAAAGCCCCCCTCCCCTGCCCCACCAGCAGGGAGCCAGGCAGGAGACAGGGAGCAGCTGCACCTGCCTCCCGGTCGGTGCGAGTCACCCCCAGCGGCATCCAGCCAAGCCAGCCAAGCCCAACACAGCGGGACACCCGGAACCCTCTGCCCCGCGCCACCCCCGCTCCCCACGCCCCACAAGCACAGGCCTCAGCGTGCACGGTCCTCCTCTCCGACTTTAAACCTGCCCTGGGCCCTCGCAGGGGGCGCCTCGAGCCCATGAGCGCGGAGCCTGGTGGCGGGGAGGAGGCTGAGCAGGACCTGGGCCACGGCCACTTGTGTCTGCTGCTGCTGCTGCTGAAGGAGCTGCTGCAGGAGCTGCAGCTGGTGATGTGAGGACAGCGGCGTCCGGGCGTCCGGGTCCTGGATGGAGGACGGGGGCAGCAGCATCCGGGGCGAGGCTGTGGGCAGGGGCTCTGGGGGCGGCACCTGCGGGGCAGAGAAGCCAGCCCAGCATGACCCGGGGCACAGACTGCGCGGGGCCCTCGCCCACCTGCGGGGGTCTGAGCGGACGTCTGGTCCGTGACCGAGGGCAGAGACTGTGGGCGGGAGGCCCTGCTCGCAGGGATGGGCCGACTCAGCGCCTCCCCGGCTCCCACCGGGGTTCCGTCCACTCTGGGCGTGGAGGGACCTGCTTCTACCACACAGCCCCCACCGCTGCGGTGTAGAGGGTGGAACGGACGGAGGGGGCGTTGCCCCGCCACCCTGTCCCTCGGCGGCATCTGCAGGGCCCGTGCTGCGCTGTGTCCCGGGGGTGGCCCTGGGGGAGCAGCCGTGGTACAAGGCTGCTGGCTCCCAGTGACAGCCTGGGGGGGGGGGGACCCGGACAGAGCCTGCGGTTCCTGAAAAGCACCTCCCCGCCCCCTCCTAGAAATCAGGGGCCTGCGCCCCCGAGATGCTGCCTGCCATGGGCTGCGGGGGGCCCTGTTCCTGACTTCCGCTGCTGGTGCTTCAGACGTGAAAGAACGAGGCCCCTGTGACGCTGGCGGGGGGCAAAGGGCGAACACGGCCAGCCCTCGAGACGAGATGGGCTCCCGCCTCTGACACCCCGGCCCGCGGATCGCCCCTCAGCTGAGGTGCCTGGGACACACTGATGGGCTGGGACCCGGGGCTCGGGGGACGTTTGTCGTGACTCGTCTTCAGGGTGGACCTGGTCTCCAGGCCTTCAGTCCACTTCCAGTCTGATGTCAGGAGCCCCTGGGGCCTGGTCACCCGCGTGAGCCCGGATGTCTGCGGGGCCCGCCCACCTTGGAGTCCGTGTGGGGGCCGCCGTCCTTCCCCACGGCGTCCAGGTCGGTCACCCCTCGACTGAAGTCCAGGCCGTCAGCCCCGGGCAGGGGCACCTCCACGGCGTCGATGTCCGTCTCCTCTGCGGTGGTGTTGGTGGCCCTCTCAGCTCCCGGGAGCTGGCAGCCTGCAGGGACAGCGGAGAAGGAGGGCAGGGGATGGGCCTCGAGAAGCACGTCCTCCCTGACACTCCTGTCAGTGTCACCGGGTCACACCGGGATGCCACCAGCTCCCTAACACTTTCACCACGTCCCCAGCAAGACCCCTGCCCGTGGGACCTGGGGACACAGAGCCTGTCTCTGAAGCCAGGGGCCGGGCCGCACTCCCTGGAGCCTGGCTGGGAGGTGGACGTGGACGGGCGGTGGTGGCCCCGGGGAGGGGTGACGGTCACCTCAGCCTCCCCCCAGGGCAGGAGTGGAGTTGGTCCGGGGTCCTGCGGTGTCCCCAGCCTAGTTAGAGGCTGGGCAGGGGCTGCGTGACTGCAGAAGTGGACGAGGGATGGGAGGCCCTGCCCCAAAGGCAGGGAGACAGGTGGCGCCACCCAGGTTTGCGCCTCCACCCACTCGGCACTCAGTAAGCGGCCCAGTGGGGACAGGACTCTGTGGCCCAAGAGGAGCAAGCAGAGTCGGTGACCCTGCTGCCGCTAGCCCGACACAGGGGTGGACACACACTGGTGGCAGCGAGAGGCGGAGCTACTGCCCACAAGCCCAGAGAGGAGCTCGTGGCCCGGGCCCCGAGGGGGAGCAGCTCGGGCAGGCGAGGCGTCCGGTGGGGCAGGGGGTGGAGTGGGCCCCCTGTGACAGCCCTGCGGAGGGAGTCGCCCAGCAAGGCCGAGGCGGCACCTTGGAGGACTGAAAGCAGGTGAGTGACGCCAGATGTCCTCTTTCAACATCACAGACGAGAGGTGACCAGAAGGGCTTGGAATGGCCCCGCAGGCCTCAGGACAGCAAGGACGCTGCTTAAGGAGCACTGACTGGGTCCAGGCGCCGACATGAGGGCTCCCGCGTGGTGACCCGTGTACCCCCCTGCACCGTCTGAGAGGCAGGCGCAACTACGCCCCCACGTGACGGATGGGGCGCCAGAGGCTCACCGCTGCTGAGGCTGGAACCAGAGCACCGCCTGCCCCGTCCCCCCGGAGTCCCCTGCCCCCACTGGTCTGCACTCTCCAGACTGATCGAGTTGATGCTCGTTTGTTTGAGTCCCCCACCGAACTCTGAATGCGGGTCCCCGCCAGCAGGGGCCTGACCGCCTTGTTCACAGTGTCCCCGGAATCAAGCCTGGCTCATCAGGGGCCTGGACGAGCATCCGTCCAATGAAGGAAACAACTGGAAGGAGGAGAAACCAAGGATCAGGCAGTGCTGGTCTGATAATACGGGCACAGGTGTGTGGGGGTCACAGGTGTGGGAGGGGAGACACAGGTGTGTGGGAGGCACAGGTGTGTGGGAGGCACAGGTGTGGGGCGTACAGGTGACAGGAGACCAGTGATGTGCTTCATCTTCAGAGTGAGCAGGGCTCCCAGGTCCCCAGATGTGACAGTAAGTGCCCCTGTCTGGAGGACGAGAGTTAATTTTCAGCAGCTCCGCTCTCGCCTCTGGTGGGCTGGCTCCGGCCTCCAAGGGAACAGGCCTCCCCCAGGAAACCCTCTCGGGAGTCAAGGAGACGCACAAGGCAAGGCGGACCCACTGGGCTGAGCCCAGGATGGCCGGGGCAGCTGCTGCCAGGACGGACAAAAGGCAACCGCCCCCCAGGGCAGGGGTGGGGAGAACGGAGAGGAGGGGTGGCGCAGGGACAGAGGACGACGTCGTCCCGGGAGCACGGCCAAACCCAAGGGGACGGCCAACGGGTGCCACAGACAGCACAGCCTCGCTCTGTCCAGCTCCCAGGGGGGGCCCGCCTGCTCCACACACGAGGGGCCAGCCCTGCGGGGAAACGAGCCCCACGCACGGAGCGCGGCCCACGATAGACAAGAGTCTTATAACAAAAGGCAAACCTGCCGACAGCAGATCCACCCTGGAGCCTCGGGTGCCCAGGACGCAGGGAGCCCTCGCGGGGCCCACAGACTCAACGCTGCTGGGAAAGCACCGTGGGGAGAGCGTGTCCTGGACTCTGGGGACCGCGAGTGAGCAGGCAGCCACGGGGGAGGGGCCGAGAGGCGGCCAGCAGCCTTCCTCACGAACACCCGCCCCGGTCGGCCGTGTCCCAGCCCTGGCACTCCGCCAAGTGGCTGTGGCTCTGCCCTGGGGTCGGGGGCAGCTGGCCGTTCCGCGTGGGCCTGTCACGGAGCCACGGCCTCCCCTGCCCGCACAAGCGGGGCGTGCACTGCACACTCATGTACTGCGCACTCATGTGCACTCATGTAACGTGGAAATGAGCAGACTAGGAGGAAAGCAGACTGCCCCCCACGATGTGGGTGGGCCTGGCCCAATCAGGCGAAGCCCACCGCAGCCCAAAGACCGACCTCCCTGAAAGAGGAGGGAATCCTGGCAGCCGACGACCTTGGGACTTACCTGCAGCCCAGCCCGAACCTCAGCCCGCAGCAGCCTGCCCTCTCCACGCCCCCACAACCACGGGTGCCCGCCCCCACGAAGAGTGCGTGTGCATGCCTCCCTGGCCCATACAGCTCACGTCACCCACAGGCCACACCCACATCCCCACGAGGATGGCAAGGCCCCACGGGTGGTGCCACGTGACACATGGCAACGGGGTGGGAAGGCACAGCCGCTGGTGGCCGGGGCGGTGGCCTGGCCCCTGCGAGAGCCACACCCGGCACCCAAACGGGGCCTGCAGGGTCCCCCCAACACGGACCCAGGTGCTTCCACCTGCAGCAAATCAGGTGCCTTCTCCCCGGGGGGCGGGGGGAACACCGACAATGCCACGCACCAGAGGTCCCCTGTGTCACCGTGATCTGACCAGAGGTCCCCTGTGTCACCACAGTGGTGAAGTTACTTCTGATGGCTTCGAGAGATTAGGATGACGCCCAGGCCAAGGGGGTACGGAACCGCAGATTCAGAAACAGGAAGGGCCGCCCTGTGGTGACTGCAAACTCGCGCCCCCTCTGCTCTACACGGAGGCCTTAGGACCGAGTCCTCCTGGGGGGCAGACCGGCAGCAGCGGCGGTGCCCTGGGGTGCGCCCTGCGTGCGAGCGTGCAGTCCAGAGAGAAGCGGGGAGAGCGGGCCTTTCGCAGGGGCCCGGGCGGGGGGAGGACGGCCTACCTGTGTCCCCCGAGCCACGGCTGCCCCCCTCGCTGTGCCCGTCCTCCTGGCCGTCCGCGCTCTGCTGCGTGTGCTGCAGGCTCAGCTTGTGACACACCTCGAAGGCCTGCCCCACGGTCCGCACGATGCGCATCGCCTGGCTCTGCGGGAGAGGGGACCTCGGTGAGGACAGAGGGGTGGGGGCGGAGCAGGATGGGCGGGGGCAGGGGGACAGGAGCCGGAGCAGCACGGGGGAGACAGGGCGCCCGTGGTGTCACAAAGAGCATGGAGACACCGTCCCCACCCGACACACTCCAGACGCTGCCACCGCTGTGAAAGAGGCAGTGGATGGAAGGGACAGAGAGAAAGCCCCAGTGTGGCAGAGCGGTCAGCCCACAGCTGCAGAAGCCTTGCCCGCTGCCACCACCACAAGCTCAGTGGGCTCAGCCCACCAGGGGCTACTCAGCCAGCGTCTCCTTTCTGCAGGGCAGGGCACCCCGCCCACCAAGGGCTGCAGCGGCCGCTGGAACCGGGGCCCAGGACAAGCCTTCACAGGCCCAGCCCCTCCACGCTACTGCCTTTCCGCCTTGTTTTGCTGTTCAGCCTCCTCCCTGGACAGCCCTGGAGCGGAACCTGACCCCTGCGCCCTGCATTCTGATACTCGGAGGGGAGGGGAAGGGAGTGGGGGGAGGGAGGCCAGGGCGCCAGCCCGTGGAGCCTGAGGGCCGCGCAGGCCCCAAGGAGGTGTCACCGGCAGGCGCTGAGCTTGGTCTCCACTGTGGACCGTGGGCAGTCACTGGATGGTCAGCTTGCTCCATGGCCTCTCAGAGACTAAGGGAGCTCAGGCTGGGCCCCGGGGCCCCTCCTCCCCGACAGCCCTCCACCCTGGCCAGTCTGACCACAGGGCAGCTGGGCCACAGGGCACAGGGAGAGCTGTGTCCCGTGTCTCACGGAAGCTGGCGTCCCCTCGCCAAGAGGGGACGACCACCACGCCCACGCGGCGTCCAGTGCCGTGAGGAGCCGTCAGGCCCTACAGGGTGACCACACTGACCTCCATTCCGACCTCCCCAGGGCCACCACCCCTGTGGCACTCTAGGCCCTCTGGTCCCGTGCAGCAGTGACCCAAATGGCTCCCGCACTGTTTCCCGAGCTGATGCCTTCAGCCAGGGCCCCTGTGGGAACCTGAGGGGCACCCAGCCGACTGCCCTCCACACGCCTGCCCTTCCAAGTGCGGTCGCACCGCAGGGTCCAAAGTCACTGCCGTGGGCCGCTGCACGGTCCTGGGTCCTCCAGGAAGGACACGTGGCAGTCCCTTTGTCCCTGTGCCCGCTGACACCCCCGTGACGGGCTTTCAGGGTGACGCCAGTGTCGACAGGTCCTCAGTCCGGTCTGTCTGAATCCAGGGGACGGGCGTGGTAGACACCGGGTTCCTGAACTTCTCCAGAAGGAAGCCCTGGGTTCAGTGAGGGGACGCAGCGGGTGGGGCACGGCTTTCTCAGGCCTCCCCAGCCGACTGCGGGCGGACAGCAGACGTGCTGGGGACGGGCACTGGGCAGCCTGGACTCCAGCTCCATCCGGCCGCTCTGTCGGGGACAAGCGTGTGAGCCTGGCCGCTGGGTGGTCAGGGGGTGGGCCGGGCCCTGCATCCTCTCCCCGCTCTCTCTCCAGGTTCCTCTGGGGCAGCCCCGTGTGCTCACAGGGACAGCAGCTGGCACTCGCCCCTCCGATTCCCGCGAAACAGGAAAAGGCCCGGGGGGCAGACGCGAGGCCCCCCCAGGCCTGCTGTCCCCCTGCATCCAGGGCACGTCTGTGACTCAGCGGGAAAGCAGGGCAGTCATGTCAGTGGTCTGTCCCCTGCCCCCAAGGGACAGACACGAGGCTAAATATGGGGAGCCCCTCACAGCATGGGGTGCATGGGGGGTGCCCCCCAAAACCACCCCTGAGTACAGAATTCACGCAGCAAAGACAATGAAGATGCAAAATAAACAGTTTTGGGTGGTGGGGATCACTTTACCGATCGCAAGGACAGGGGAGGAGGGCCTGCCCCTCACTTGAGAACACCAGCATTGGAATCCCGCTCCCCCAAAGCAGAGGGGGAGCCCCAGGTCCGGTGGCCTTGTGTCTGAGCTCCTGGACAGTGTCCACTCCAAGGAAGCAGTGGGCAAGGCCCTGGGCCCACACATTCGGGGCGAAATGTCTGACACCTCCACGTACCCGCCACACCCCTTCAGGCAGGGCCCCCTCGTTCCCGGGAAGACGACAAGGGGCGTGTTTTCGGAAGAGCCCTCCTCCCCGGAGACGCAGTCGGCCACCCCGCCAGGCACTTCACGCACGGCTACATCCACCAAAAAGCCTCCCTGCCCCTCAGCACGCCAGGGTCGGCGGCTGGGCACCTCGAGTCTCAAAGATGGCTCTGTGCGCAGAAGCCCGCATTCTTCACCTGTGAAAAGTCCACTTTCGGGGGTTCCACACACGAACCTCTGTGGGGGGAGGACCCCTTGAGGGTGGAGGGCAGGGCTGTCCCTCCCGCCTGAGCGCCCTTGGCCATGTAGTTCCCCCCTGCTCTGCCTGCCCCCCGGCGGGCAGGACCCCACGTGCTGGGCCTTCACAGAGAACGCTGACCAAGGGAGGCTTTACACAGAGCCCTTCCTGGGTCCCCTGGGTCCCCTGGGTCCCAGCTGCTGGCTGCTGGCACCTCAGGACCTGGAACAGGCCTGGGGAGCTCGCAGCGGAGGTGCGCAGGGCGGCGGCAGGCGCAGCCAGGGCGGAAGGGCGGGGCACCGTGGAGGCAGCCTCCCCCGGCTCCTGGGCCTGGCCGTTCTCTGGAAAACGTTTTCTGGAAGCAGCATCTCGGCACGAGCCCGGGGCGGTCCCACACAAGCCCGAGGGCACTCAGAGACCCCAAACACCCATGGGCTCCCTGTGGCTGGGGTCGGGCCGGCCGCAGTTGCCAGAAAGGTTTCAGAGCCAGAGGACGTGCCACCTGGAGCAGCTCCCAGCCACACGCGGAGACGCGGGAACACAGGGGAAGGCCGGGGACGGCGTCTCCGTGGAGACAGAACGGTGTGCCGCTTCCCCTGGAGACCCACGGACGCGTTTCTTCAAACTGCCGCCCACGCACAGTGACAGCCGCCAGGCCACCGCTCAGCCCGGCAGGGGGGTCGGGACACAGCAGCGGCTCTGCCCTCTGGGGCGGCTCCTGACAGCCGTGGAGGCCGGCACTGCTCCCAGAGGGCGGGCGACCCCTCGGAGCAGAGGAGCCCCCAGGAGCCCGCCCGTCCTGGCCCCAGAAAAGTTACAGTCCATCGCGGATGTAGTTTCTGTCCTCGTAAGTGGCCGTGTTGCAGGCTGGCCCTGCAAACTCGGGGGATCGAGTCCCCTGTAGTGTGGGGAGGGGTCGCTATTAGTCTCATCGCACAGCTGACTTAGGGAGCACCCTTGGGCGCCGTCCTGAATGCCCTGCCCTGGGCTCCAGAGCTCGTGGACTTGAAAAGGGAGCCCATGGGCAGGTCAGGGAAGGAGGCGTGGACACTGGACACGCAGGTGCCCGTGCGGACGGGGATGACGACGGCGACAGGGAGGAGAGAGGGACAGGGTGGGGCACACGTCTCAGGGCAGCTCTGCACTCGGTGGGGTTCCCGCAGCCGCCCAGGGCCTGGGACATGGCACAGCCCCGTGTCCCCAGGGGTGGCGAAGGGACAGAGAACCCGGAGCCAGAGGTCAGCACGAGCTGACGCTGAGAGAGCCGGGAAAAGCGACGTGACGGGAAGGAGGCCCCCCCGGACCGCCGACACCACCGGCAGGTCTGAGCCCACGCCCTGCGTCCTGCCAGGCGGCCGCAGTGCGAAAGGGCCCCGGCGCGTGGGTCGGCCCCGGTCGGTCTGCCCACGGTCTGTGCACGCGGAGCACGACACACGGAGGAAGCCGAGGGGACAGGGAAGTGTCCCCGAGTGTCCCACCTGCAGACGCCCGTCACCGGGGAGGAGGGCCCTGGGCCGTCTGAGGAGAAGAATGGCGGCCGCGGCTGCCTTTACCTTCTTCTTGGACTTGAACACGTTGCACCTGAAGGCGTTGCTGGCCCCGTCCCGGGCGATGTAGCTGAAGATCTTCAAGTCCTGTGAGTCGTGCGACACGTAGAAGATCCTGCGGGAGACGCAGCGGAGACGCCGTGAGCGCAGGTGCCGGCCCCGCCCCAGGAGCCCGAGGCCAGCGCCCGCCGAGTCCTGTGCGGGAGGAGGACGTCCGCCCCGCCAGGGCCCGGGGCCCCGGACGCGAGGCTCTCAGTCCCCTCCGACGCGGGGACCTGGATGGAGTCCTATTCACAAGGCGCCGCCTTCTCCTCCGGCAGCCGGGGTCCCTAGGGAGACTCTGGCCACAGGCTGCAGGGACCCAGGCCTGGCCTGGCCTTCCCAACACACCCCCTGACGGCCCCCCACAAGCCCCCAGATTCGTCAGGCCCCCAGCACCGTCACCGCCTGGCATGTTTCCCCGTCTCCGGGGCCACGGAGACCCCGAGACACCGGCTGCCGGCAGAGACATGCCCCCGAGGAAGGAGGACCCACGAACATCTCGGTCGTTGCCGCGACGCCCGTGTGAACCCCCGGGAGGAAGTGAGCCCCCAGCTGGGCTTCACTTCAGATCCAGTGCGGGCCAGGCAAGCGCACATCTACCCGAGAGTCTGTCCAGGTGCCTGCCGGCCAGTCTCAGGGGTCAGCCCACTGTAACATCACGGCTGTGACTCAGTCCTGCCCCCGTCCCACCACAACCTGCATGACACCCACAACCCGACCACAAGCCACCCCGAGGGGCCGTCCAGGGGTCTGGGCCCTGAGACGGTGACTCCCTCTGCCCGGCACTGGACCCGCAGGCGGACACGGGCCACGTCCCTCCCAGCCAAGCCCCTCCCACGGGCAATTCCCCGTCACTGTCCCCACTGGGCCTGCAGATCCGCGGGCCCGTCCTCTGCATCCGAGACCTGCATCCCGCGGTGGCCGTGGTCGCATCCCCAGGGCCATCACATCCCCCCCTACAGTGCGGAGCCCAGGCTTCCTATAGTTGAAGCCCCCCTCCCGGGGGGGGGGGCTGCCCTGGAGACTGCGCCCTGCCCCCTCCCCCGCACGGTTAGCCCTCCCACCTCCAACAGGGCAAACACCCTTCTTCGGGTGGAGAACAGTCAAGCATGGGTGCGTCCAGTGCCCTGGTGGTCCCCAAGGGCTCGCAGCCCCTCACCCACGTCCCTCCCCGAGGGCCCATGACCCGTGCGACGCTGAGCCTGTGGGGGCACCTGGCTACCCCAACACAGCGGAACGAGGTCGAGGGGCTTCTCGCGTCCCAGGGCCCCACTGCCTGTGTCGCGGTCGCCTGTGTGCGGCCGTCTTGCTGTCAGAGCTCACGTCCTGGACGTTGCAAAGTCAACGTCCCGTGTGACCTTCCCCAGTCACCTCCCGCCGGGCCCCACTCAGAGCTCAGCCTGTGTCCCTCCGTCCATCCGTTCACTTCTAGATAAAAGCCCGCAGAGGAACGGCACTGCCTCCTGGGAGTTTCGCCAAGATTTAAGAAATCAATTCCATTTACGAGAAATGTGCTGAGCACCACTGAATGTGACGAGACAGTGGTCGAGGAGACAGAGGGCAGCCCGGCAGCTGCTGCTGAAAAACGGGGCCCACCCACGGGTGACAGCACCCTCAGGACAAGCAGGGCCCACGGGGGGCGAGGGGGTGCCATCAGGGAAGGGGCCTGGCGGACGTGCGGGGGGAGGAACCTGGGAAGGTGACCGAGGAGGTGACGGCAGGACGCTGAGCCCAGCGCCTGGGACGCGGTTCCCCACGGCTGGGTCCCCAGCGCCGCCAGGAACGGGAAAGGCTGAGAGTCGGCCACAGCCGCCTCCCGGGGCCGCCGGGCAGGCCTGTGGGCCCCGCAGCCAACCCAGGCCTTTTTCCTCCCCTCGTCCTCAACCCCACACACGGCCCTCGGGCCTCCGGTCCTGCCCGGCTCCGCGGCTGAGGTCCGAGTGGCCAGAAAGGAGGCCCGGGCTCCCCCCGAGGCTGCGCTCTCAGAGGGGGGACGGCACCACGGCGCCTGCACTGGTGGGGGCGCAATGGCCCAGTAGCCACAGGGCCTCCCGTGATGCGGCCCCACCACGGTCCCACCCTTGCTAAAGGCTGCAGCTGATGCCCCGCACCCACACAGCTGAGGGCCTGCGGGGCCCAGGAGGTTCCCTCTGCACACAGGCTCCCCCTTCCACGTGGGCAGCGGCCAGCGCAGGACGCTGACGGGAAGCCCACTGTCCACACAGACGCTGCGTCACTGTGAGAATTATATCGGTTCTTCCCTCCTTCGGGGGGACGACCAGCAGCAAACGCCCCGGCCCGAGGGGCAAAACGCTCAGACAGCGGACAGAGCTGGCTGGCACCAGGCTCCGGCCTCGGACTCCAGCCTCTGCGGGGCCCACGGCCCGTCCAGGGGGGGCAGCGGTCCCTCCAGACTCGGAGGCAGAGGGCGGGCCTGCCTGGTGTCTTCTCTCTCTCGTGCGATTCCACTGCAGGTCCTCGGGCACGAAGTATCTAATTCCAGGTCTTACAAGGCTTACAACCACACACATTTTAACAGCCTTCTCTCCTCACCCCCACCCAGCCTTCCCTGACCCTTTCTAAGGGCATCACCTTAGAAACACACTGCTCGTCGGGCCCACTGCTAACGTCCAAGTCACCGCACGGTGCTCTGACCGACTGGCAACAGTCCGTGTCAGGAGCTGCGCCTGCAAAGAGGTCGCTTTTTTACGTACAGGGCGCCACTGTCCAAAAACAAAACAAAAACCAACCGAGAAACCCTTTCTTCTACAAAAACGCGCAGGCCGGGTTCGTCCTTGCACGCTCTCCACGCCCAGCTCAGGCTTCAACCTGCTTCTCAGAGCCTCCGTCACCCCCGTGGGTCACCGTGCCACTGACGCTTGTGCTCAGATGCTAACCGGAAGCATTCACCGCGCCGGCACACACACAGTAAATGCGCCGAGTGGCGGACGCAGGCTGGGAGCCAGGAGCACGGAGGAACCAGGCGCCTTCTTCCCCTGAAAAGCCTCCCAGCTGGTGGCGAAGGAACAGCAGCAGTTTGACAATCTCAGCGACACCGGCCAGTCCCAGGGACAGAGGGCAAGTTCACAGGCAGACACAGCGCCCTGAGCAGCGGCTGGGTCAGGATGTGTCCCCCTGTGGTGCCCAGAGCCCCCGGTCCTTGACTCACGGCAGAAGCCGCAGGACCGCCCACGTGTTCGCCGCGTGAACAGAAACCCCGGTCCACGGGCGTCCTCTCTCCGACCAGCGGCTGGGCCGCCCTGCTGCCAGCGCCCGACTCGAGTTCCCGCCCTCACCCACTCTGTCAGCCGAGGCACACAGTCGGAGGGGAGACGACCGTCAGGATGTAAGTCCAGGTCCCAAAAACCCGGCAAGACAAGCTGATGTCCAGCCTCCCAGGAAGGAAACAGGATGGGGGTGGAGCAAGGTGGGTGGGGTTTGGTCAGCAAAACCCCAGGGCAGGCGAGTGGGGGTCCTGCCTGGGTCCCAGGAGGCCAGGCGCTCTGGGGACTTCACTCTGGGGCCCTGCTCCTCTGGGGACGGTCAGCCGACCTGCAGGGACTGCTCGATCTCTCCCTGGAAGCAGTTTCTGAGGGTCTGCACACATCCTGCCGTTCCCACCGACCCCAAGCCCTCCCTGCGCTGAGCATCTGAAGGGCAGGATGGCGGGACGGACGCCCTCCGCGGGGCAGCGTGAGCGCGGGCGAGGGGCGCCAGTCCACTGTTCCAACCAACGCCCGTGCTCCTGCGGAATCCCAGGTGAGACAGACACACACAGGGTGGAAAGGTCTGGAATCGCAGCCCACAGACTCAGGGTGAAACCCAGCAGGAGCCCCGCGGCCCCTCGATGCAGCTGATCAGGGGGGCGACGTCTCCTCTCCACGCCCAAGACACGGGTGCTCACGGCCACCAAACACGACAGGAAGTGCACTCGGACTGGAGCGCCGCCCCCGCCCCGCCCGGCGGCCGGCTCTCACCTGTAGATGGGGTCCTGCATCACCAGCATCTTGCTCTCGTCCCACGTCCACTCCTTCTTCTGCAACAAAAGAAACTGTAAACGAATGAGTCGGGCTTGTCCTCGGCTGCGGGGGCAGGGCAGACACTGAGCTGCGGACACGAGGGACCACGGCCCGACCACCCCCAGCCCCGCCATCCGTGGTGGTTCCCGAGGACGCGTGTGAAAGTCAAGTGCCCGGTCTCCTCGCGCCCGAGAGGGGCTCCCGGGCGCAGAGGCCGACTCTCTGCCGGAACGTCACGGAGGAGGAGCGGGAGGAGGGAGAGGCGCCGTCCCCCCTCCAAGGTGGGTCACCTGTGGAGCGGCTTTTCTCTGAAGCCCTGAGATCAGCACACGCCCCGCAACACCTGGCTCCGCCCCCTGCCAGCTGGCCTGGGGTCCTGCCCGAGTGGAGCCCCCCTCCTGGGGTGGCCGAGAGGTTCCCCAGGGTGCAGGGCGCCAGGAGGCGCCTGGCGTCCCGTGGGCTGCCACCCTCAGCGGCCACCACCCAGGGTGCAGTGACTCTCAGCAGCGCGTTCCTTCTGCTGTGACTCCCCAAACAGAAACGGAGGGAGCACCGGTCCTGCCCGATGCTCACAGCCGCTGCCATCCGAGAGCGGCCATGGCAGCCGCGAGCACTCAGGCTCTGCTGGGAGGGCCCTCGGACGACAGCCGGCCGCCCGTCCAGCCCAGTGGGGGTCTGTCCGGGACAACAAAGCCCTTCCGGAATGTTCTCTGTGGGGACCCACAGGGTCACAGGTCCGTGAGAGAGACCACGTGCAGCAGGCCCACTAGGCCCTCAAAGTCCCCGGGATGGAGCTCAGGGCCGGCCTTCCTCACTCAGACCCCAGGCTTCCACGGCACACCACCACCTGACGGAGGCTGGCGGCGGGACGGTGCTCGGGCCACAGCCGAAGAGGACACGGGACCGAGGGACATCGACGTGCAGCCCAGAGTCCCAGCCGCTGCGTTGGCAGCACAACCCTGAGCTTCGCAGGGGTCTGAGGCCCGTCTGCGGGCAGTGTCGTTACATAGGAGTTATTACTGTGTCACTGTCGTTATACGGTCGTTACTGTATCATTATCCCACAGTTACTAGTGTCTCATTGTTCCAACTGTAACTGCATGGCCGTTACTATTGCATGGACATTATTATTATACAGTTGTTATCATTACATAGTTGTTACTGTGCTGTTACTGTACAGCCGTCATCATTCAGGGTTGTTGGTATTATACAGTTATCGTTGTAGAGTTATATCGGGGACCACACGGCTGGGAAGGGCGGAGCCAGGACGAGAACCTGGGTCTCAGCTCAGCAGAGGGACCTCCCACACGTCCCGCTAACCGGGCGGAGGCACCCACCAGTCGAGAGCGTCCGGCCGCACTCGGCCCGGGGCCCGGGGCTGCGTGTCACCGAGGACCAGCACCGCCCTTTCTGCACCTGCAGCTGCCTGGCCAGGCAGCTGGCTCCTGACCTGACCTGGACGGCCACCAACGAGACCTGCCGAGGGCAGCTTTCCTTGGAGACAAGGGGGATGCCCACTCTCGATTTCACAGACCTACAGAGGGGCAGCGTGAGCACACCCACATACCCAAGGGCTGCCCCGTGGGAGCAAGAGGCACAGAGGCTGGTGGCTGCTAATGAGCTCCCGTCTGTCAGCGGCGGTGTCCCCGAACACCGTGACCAGAGGTGCAACCCGGCGCCAGGGGGCCCCGGAGCAGACGCCAGGCGTGGGCGCAGCGACGGGCCCGCTCCCCGCTCTGGCCGGCGGCGCCCCAGGAGCCGGTGCAGAGATGCTCACCTTCTTCTTCTTCTTCAGGATCACCTTCACCCCGTCCACCGAGACCATGATGCTCACCTTCTTCTTCTTGATGTTCTTGGCTTTGAACTCGTACTGCGGGAGAGAAGGGGCCGAGAGGCACCGTCAGAGCAGAGCGCCAGCCGTCCTGCTGCTCCTGACCGGGGCGGCCGGGCCGTCAATGGCCAGTGGCTCAGGCACTCTGGGCGCGGCCAATGAATGGTCTCACCGCTCAGCCCTCGGGCAGGACCACAGAAGGGACCTGATGTCCCTAACGACAGCGTGAAAACAGGACCTCCTGGGGAAACCTCGTCGGGAATCCAGAACCGTCCCTGGGCTGAGACGCTTGCTGCTGTGGGTTCAGAGCCCCGGCGTGGCGCTCCCCGGGCCGTCCCCCTCCCTGCTGAACGGGTGGGTCCCCTCCACACTCTGCTCCTGGGTGAGGACCCAGCAGCAAGTCCATCAGCACACTCTGCCGACATGGTGCCACCCTCGCCCCCGGGCTCAGGGGGCAGGCGCCCGCAAACCAGGCCCTGACCTGGCTCGAATTTCCAGAAGAAGCTCTTGCTCAGCCACCTCCTACCAGCTTCGCTGTCCCTGGGACCCTCTGTAAATCGGGACGCCCTCCCGAGGCTGGCAAGAGGCCCGTCAGCCCCCTGCCGGCACCACTGAGTCCTCGCCACCTCTGCCTGGCCTGTAACCCTCGTCCTACAGGGACAAAGGGCCACTGAACCTTCTCCCCAGAACAGGAAGCAGCTCTGAGGGAGCGCTGTGCGCGTTTCCCGGGGCTCACGTGGGGTCTGCAGGACGCGGGGACCAGAGCACCACAATGTGACCGAAGGGGCAGAGACAGCACAGGCGTCCTGGTCACCCCAGCCGGGGGCGCTCCCCACGCTCCCAGGCACCCGGCCCAGAGAGGCCCGGCCCGCGCTGCCAGGGCCCTGAGACTCGACTCTGACCTGCCCCGCCCACCAGCAGCCAAGTGCCCCCGACCTTCCCCCAGCGAAGACTGAGCTCTGCTGAGAGCCACTGAGATGAAAGGAAGCCAGGCTCCGAACCCTGCCCTTCGCTGGAGAGCCGAGCCCCTGCACCCGTGACGCGAGGGGACACGGGTGACGGAGTGACCAGACCGGCAGAGCCGGGGTTCACGGGGACCAGCCCCCCTTCTCCCAGGCTCCCGGCTCTGAGGGCAGGCACGCTTGGGAGGAAGCGTCTGTGACCCGCAGGAGAGGAGCCAGCTGCCTGGGCTGCCCCGGGGCTGGAGGGCAGACAGGACGCTGGGGCCACCGTCTGCGGCTCGGGCCAGCCCCCCACAAAGCCCGGGTCTGTGCCAACAGGTCGGCTCCGCCCCTGGTGCGGCCGGAGCAACCTGGCTGCTTTCTTTGTCAGCCAGAGCCCTGGCAGCAGGGACAGGAGAAGCCCTGCGGGACCTGCCTTGTGGAAACAGAACGAGCCAAGTCCTGGCACGCTGACCACTGACCAGAAAGACCAAGGTCAAGTTCTGGCCCACAAGCAGAGCCCCAGGCCTGCACTGGACACAGTGTGCTATGCCGGCCGTGAAGCCGTGGGGGAGCCGGCTCCAGACCCAGCAGGAGCCGGGCAGACGCTCAGCGAGTGACACAGGGATGGCATCTCCCGAGTCCCCAGCGTCCAGGACGCCCCCCCATCCCGGTGTCTCATCCGGGCAGGGCATGTCTGGGAGGGGAGCAGGGCGTCAACCACAGCCAAGCGTGGTCCAAGAGGCGCTGAGGCCACGGCACAGAGCGCAGGGACCGGTGCTGGCGCCTGAGGGTCACGGGCAAGGGCTGGGCCCGCTCACTCACGCCTGTTCGTGCGGCTCTCACGCAGACCCACGTGCTCACACTCCCTGCACAGGTGGCCCGCAGCAGCATCCCAACCCCCACGGGAGCCTGGGTCACGATGTGGCCTCTTGTCCCCGAGCGGGGGTTTGCAGAGCTGAGGGAGGGGCTCTTGCCCGGGGTCCCCGGGGTGCTCCGCTGTGTTCACAACCGTCCCAGACGAGCCTGTGGCCCTGCTGCCGGTGATGCTCGTGGCATGTTTCCACAGGAGGGTGGGTGGTGCCGCGACAGTTGCTCCCCCCCCCCGCCCGCAGCCCCAGCTGCCTGCTGGGAGCACCTTGGCCGGGCACCCTGGCGCACAGGGCTCTCGGACGTCCTCTGCCCCTCCCACCTGCAAGTTTAGTGACTCGGCAGCAGCGAGACACAAAATCCGGGCACCCCACCTTCAGAGGGGCACTGTTCTCCCCCTCCCGAAGGTGGAGGCAGCCCACAGCCCCCCGGGGGACAGACGGACGTTCTGACGACTGCTGCGACGTGGCGGGACCTCGAGCACACCCCGCTCAGCGACGGCGCGCGCCCGTCACAAGAGGACAGGTGCTGTGATTCCGCTGACACGAGGCAGATCAGAGCAGTGAAGTTCAAAGTCAAAGCAGGGGCCGGGGACAGGGAGGGCGAGTGGGGAGGGTTTAGTGGGACGGAGTCTGAGAGATGAAGGACTGGAGCAGCAGGTGGTGACGGTGCCACTGGGGGCCTGTCGCGTTCCCCAAGTCCATCAACAGAAAACTGACCCGAATCCGAATGTCCCGACCTGCCCCTGCTCCGCACGTCCTTCAGCATCCTGTTCTCTCCTGGGGCCAGAACCCCGGCGGCCCGAAATGCAGGCACTGGCACGTGTGCGGTGCAGCCTGCGGTGCAGGCGCCCGTCTGGCCACAGGGCAAGACGGGGAGCGGCTCACTGGACACTGAACGTCACGGGGTCAGGGCCACCCTCAGCCTGCCGCCTCCCCGGGCCCCTTCTCACGCGACCTCACCTTCATCTCCTCTGGTGCTTCCTCGCACCTCACACCCCACACCCGGGGAAGGGCACCGGACGCAGCAGGTCAGAGAAACCCAGAGGGGCATCGCGTGCAAGGAGGGCGCTAGGCAGGAACCGCGCTGTCCGGCGCTGTCCAGAGTGCCGAGAAGCGGGAGACGGAGCCATTTCAGGGGAGGGGACACTTCAGAGTCACATCGACCAGGCCCTCACAGGGCCACTGTGACAGTCTCAGGGGCAGGCGAGCTGGGCTGTGTGCTCGGGGGCCTGCGTGGTGGCCGCTCCCACGGATGCGAGACAGGCAGGAGCACAGCCATCGTGTCCCCCTCCCAGAAATGCTGGCCGGCCACCAGGACGACACAGAAAGACCCAGAGAGCTCCCCAACCCTCTGCCACCGAGGTCACAGTGAGCACAAGGCCGCCCACCACCAGAAAGAAGGGCCTCCCCCGAACCTGAGCACACGGCACCGTGACCTTGGACTTGCAGCCCCTCACGGAGCAGACGGAATGCCCGCCACCCTCCGCCGCCCCCGCCCGTGGCAGCCCAGACAGACTGGGACGGTGCTCACGACAGCCTTCCTTCTGCCCCAGCCCCCCAGCCCATGGGTCCAAAAAGACATTAGCCCGAGAAGCGGCCGCCTTGGGAACCCGGCGCCTGAGACACGTCATCATCGCCCGAGACCTGCGGGAAACCCACCCTGAAGGACAAACTGCGTCACGAAGGGGCTGGCGCCCCCGTGATCACAGCCTGTGGTTTTCGCCGGGAGAGCAGCGAGGCGGCTCACCAAGACAGGCTGCCCTTGGCCTCAATCCTCAACGATTTTCGGCCGTTACAGGAATCCAACCCCCTACGTCCTGATGCCAGTGAGACCCGAGACAGGAGAACTAGCACCGAGAGGGGTGGCCAGCGAATCAGTGCGGCCTCTCCGGACGCCTCCTCCCCGTCAGCTGACATCGCTGGGCGGGCTGCGGGCACACGCTCCACCCCACGAGTGCACGTGGCACTGTGGCCACACGCGGGCACCCCCGTCCCTCGACCCCGCCTAATCGGACCCTGGCTCCGACCTGCAGTCTCACCCCCGGCACCGGCACTGAGAGTGTGAGGAGCGTGACTGAGAACCTGGGCCCCACGTCCACACCCGCCTGTCACAGGCACCACGTCAGGGCGCCCTGCTGACAGAGCCAAGACAGGTGTCTGCCCTCGTCGTCCTGTGCACGAGGGACGCGGCGTCACGGGGTTCCCACCCTGCAGACCGGGATCTCCATCCAAAGCTGCGCGAGGCAGGGCTTCCGTCCAATCACACACTCGCTCCACACTCCGGCACACGCGGCGGCAGAGCCTGGGCGCCGGGCACCCCACACGTGACCTGGGCTCCGTCACGGCCTGGAAACTCGGCACCTCCACGGGCACCGAGCCCATTCGTGCCCACGAGCTCCCTCCTTCCAGGGAGACACCGTCACCGACTCCAACAGGAAGAAGCCACAGGGGTGGCTGCAGGGGACCGGACCAGACAGCGCAAGGGGACAGGCTGGGTGACGGGGCCTCAGCTCCTCGCAGACGCAGGGATCACAAGCAGGTGGGAAACATCACGACCTGGGCACACAAAGGCGACACTTTGTCCCCAAAACGCAGCCACTGACCCTGGTCCAGCCTGAGCAAAGGAACCAGCTGTTCTCTAAATAAGACCTGCCCCCCCCCCCAACGTACAGGTCGTAACCGTCTCATGCTTTTTGAAGGCGGCTGACTTTGTGGATTTATGTGCTGTGAACTTAACCTAATTACCAGTAAACTTTAATGGCTTTCTGGCAGTTCAACTAAGAAAGAAAAGTCATCTCACACGCAGTTAAATTGCACAGGCAAATTCGAGAGCTGAGCCACGACCGTGTGAATGCTGAGCGAGGGGCCGAGTTTATGAAAACGGCACAAAGGAGCTGGCAGAGCCAGACGATTACATAAGAGTTGAGCTAAATATTTTCAAAAGCTTTCACGGAAACGCACATTCGCAGAGAAAGGGACCGGCCACCCACAGCCGCCGCTGTTCACACAGACCTGAGGGTCCGCCTCGGTCCGGCCGGAACGGCCCCCGTGCTCGCCAGAGACCACACGGCCTTTCAAGCCCTCACAGTCCAGGGGCTGATTTACAGCCCAGAAACATCTCAGGAATGCCTTCCCGGGTGTGGGAGAGTCTTTTCAAAGGCCAACCCGGTGTGGACTCAGTCGCCCACAAGGAACCCGGCTCAGGGGAGACAAGGGCACCCATGTG